GTCACACAGGTCTCTGAGACTATGATTCTCCGAGCCCCTTCCCAACATACACATTCCTTAGAATGGATAGTCACAATTGACCTATTTTCAAGCTCACTGATTCCTTCTTTTGCCTACTCAAATCTAATACTGAGGCCCTCTATTTCAGCTGTTGTATTTTTCCAAATCCAGAATTTCCATTTGCTTTTTAAAATACATATATATATATTTAAGATTTTATTTATTTATTTGACAGAGCAAGAGAGCACAAGCAAGGGGAGCAGTAGAAGGAGAGGGAGAAGCAGGCTCCCCGCTGAGCAGGGAGCCTGATGCAGCGCTTGATCCCAGGACCCTGGGATGACCTGAGCCAAAGGCAGATGCTTAACCATCTGAGCCACCCAGGTGCCCCTAAAATATAATTTTTTTTTTTTAAAAGACTTTATCCAGGGACGCCTGGATGACTCAGTTATTAAGCGTCTACCTTTGGCTCAGGTCATGATCCCAGGGTCCTGGGATGGAGCCCTGCATCAGGCTCCCTGCTCTGCGGGAAGCCTGCTTCTCCCTCTCCCACTCCCCCTGCTTGTGTTTGCTTGTGTTCCCTCTCCCGCTGTGTTTCTCTCTGTCAAATAAATAAATAAAATCTTTAAGAAAAAAAATAAAAGATTTTATCCATTTATTTATTCTAGAGAGAGAGAGAGTGTATGTGTGCAAGTGGGGGGAGGAGCGGAGAAGGGAGAGGGTGGGGGAAAGAATCCCAAGCAGACTTGATCCCACAACTCAGGGACCACCACCTGAGCCGAAACTAAGAGTCCGTTGCTCAACCAACTGAGCCACCCAGGTGCCCCTAGAATCTAATTTCTATATTATTTATTGATATTCTCTAATTGGTGAGGCATTTAAAAAATATTTTCATTTAATATTTTAGACATGGTTTCCTTCAGCTCCTTGAACATAATTTAAGTTCTTTGTCTAGTAAGTCCAATGTCCTTGAAGAACAGTTTCTGACTGCTGTTCCTGTGTATGGGCCATCCATTGCTTTTTTGCATATCATAATCTTTTGTTGAAAATTGGACATTTTAAATAACACAGCAATTCTGGAAATCAGATTTATCTCCTTCCCCAAGATTTGTTGTTATTGCTACTTGTTATAGTTGTTTAGTGAGTTTTCTGAAAGAATTCTATAAAGTCTGTACACCTTGTTATGCGTGGCCAATGAAATTTTTACTCAGCTTAGCAGCCAGCTAATGATCAGAGATTTCCTTAAACACCTGTAACAACAACAACAAAAATCTCCTAGTTTTTGCCAAGGGGCTGTGTGTATGTGTGTTAAGGCATGCCTTCAAACCTCAGCCTGGCAGTTGAAAATTGGCTTTTACTTCTTGTTTGTGCAGAGCCTCAAAATTAGCCACAGATGAGAGCATAGGGTGGTCTCAGGTCTTCCACAGGTGGCCACAGCTCTATGTGTGCACATAGCATTCTAGATTCCTAGAACTATGCCAGAGCTTTACAAATGGATATTGATTCCCCCAAGCTTTTCCTTTTAAACTCTTTGGTTACTCTATTGCTTGCCTCAGCTCTTACTGATCACCTAAAGCAAGTACAACATTAAAACTTTTGCCTACAATTGTTTCAACAAATACTTCCCCAGGGAGAATACTTTTCATACTGGGTCCACTCTGAGTTAGCTCAACTGTAAAGAGCCTTGGAAGTGAGGCATTCCGGGGAACCATCAGATAGGCCAAATGATGGCAAGTCTTTGGGAATGAGGCTTTGAAAGAGCTCTAGCTTTGTTTTGTTCTCTCGTGACTTCTAAGCTGCACCAGGAATGTGGTGTCAAGGCTACTGCAGAGCTGGAGTGAGGAATGCGACTAGAGCAAGTTAAAACGCCACAAAGGTCACTGTTCTTACCGAGACTCAGAAGTTCTTTTCTCTGCCATTTTCACTGATATCAGCTGGTAAAAGCTATTTGACCACTTACAGTGTCTATTCCTATTAGTCGTCTAACTGCAGGCAATTGATGGCCTTTCCCCCCATGCTCCCACACATTTATTGCTACCTACAGGTGGATAAAGACAAAGCTCTTCTCCAGAAGCCCCTATCCCTTGAATTCTCTTCATTCACATTTTCTTGGATTTTGGCATTTCTTAAAATGAGTATCAGAACCACAAGCAACTTTTCTCTCATGCATGCTAGGTCCTGCCATCTTTGTGGCCTACATAAGGGCTCAAAAGCAGGTTACACGAGAAGCAGATCATCAAGTAAAAAATGCATTTTGATTATTTCTACTAGGTCTCAAACAATGTTACTCACAGCGCTGCTGTTATTTTGGGTACCAGAAATGAACCAACTTCCCATTTTTGGGGGGAGGGCCTTGGCCAACCATCCAATTGAGGTTGGGCTTGGCCAAATGATTTGCTCTAGCCAGGGGAGTATTAGCAGATGTGATGTATGCAGAAACATAAACTGTGTTTGTGTGATCAGGCTTGCCTTCTTGTGCTTTTGTCATCATCATGGAGAACTTCTGGAGAACTTCTGCAGTCTAGTTGAAGTCTGAAGAGGAACACGGACAGAGTGGACCCAAGCTCGACTCATGGCAAGTAGTCAAGCCCAGCCAGATCTCCGGCTTGAAGCAGTCACCTAGCCAAGCCTGTCAGCCAACCTGCAAAAGCATGAGTGACAATGATTATTTTAAGTTGAGATTTGGGGCAGCAATAGCAACTGAAACATAAGTACACATCTTTCTCTTAGACTCATCCTAAGGGCAAATCTTGTTACCTCTTCCTTCAGTGCTACAGGTCCAGAATCTAGCACACTTTCTGGTAATGAGCAGATGTTCAATTAACATCTGTTGCGGTCACATTTACATTTCTTCTAAAATTAGTGACTTAGAATAAAACTGAAAGGAACTTACATAGTTTAGTTGTAAAGCATGTGGTCGAACTTCAAAATCACCAATTTCAACAAGGACCAGAAAGCATGTTAGAGGTCATTAGGTGGTTAAGAGCAAGGACTACGGAAATGACTGTCTGGATTTAAATCTAGGCTTCACGAATTATTGGCCAGGTGATCTTGGGCAAGTTATTTCACCTTTCTGCCTCATTCCTCATCTGTTAAATGGTACTATTAATAGTACCTACCTCACAGAACAGTTGTGTGGATTAAGAGATGTATTTCAATTACTTACAACCTCACCCAGTACTTATAAACACTTATAGGCATTTTGAGTTATTATTACCAGCAGAAGATTTTGAGCAAGGTTATTAAAAGTCCTCTTTGCCTGCTCCTCCAGTCACCTATTTATATCTTTTTGTTCTCACTTTTGTTATCTCATCTCTATAATGTGTATAATTAGCTCTTTTGTAGGTCTGCATGGTCTTTTTGTACTCTGGAATGCTAAGTGCTGACACCTATTCCATCCTCTCTTCCACCAACCCATTTTACAAACTACTGATTTTGTTCTTTTCACCTAGGATAGCATTTGCCTCTTCTCCACCTGCTCAAAGCATAGTTGTTCCTCAATGTCCAGCCTAAATGTCATCTCTCCCAGGAAGCCTGTTCTGATCTTCTTTTCCAACGTCATCTTTCTCTGACCTTCCTTAGCAGTTCATCTCTACCTAAATTACAATTTTATACTTTCTATTTTCAGGTATATGTCTTTCCATGAGACTCTAACTTCTAGAGGACACCACAATTTCTAGGCTCACTTTCTGCCCATTCCCACCCTCAAGCATATGACAGGCAAGCAATAAATATTTGTTGAATGAATATACTTGAGAAGCCCACTTAGGTTCATCTAAATTCTGAAACAGTTTTTTATTGAGAAGTCATCAAGTTTTTAAAGAAAGATTAGAAACTAGTTGGAATACTAATTAGACATTAAAAGATAAAGAAGTTTGCATGTAAAAAAGAAAGACACTTGATTTATTGCATTAAAAAATTTTATTTCATTTAAAAGGTCCAATATAAGCCAAATTAAACCCCAAATTGACAGCTATTTAGAGCTCCTGAACTAAATGGCACTGTTTGAGTTGAGTGTCTTGTTAAAGGAAGTCATTTGCTATTACCACCATTTCCCCCAAAGTAGTTCTAGAGCAGAAGCTGGTATTACTATAATACACATCAGATATTTCAGATGTCATCATTCATGCAGAAGTTAAAAAAGCAAACAGGCTTTTCTGTTCCGTTTGAGTATAAAAACCACTACAGAGCAGGGCCTGAATGCTTTTGACATACAAGGTGTAACTATAAGGGAACTTACTGTGCTGCTGTGTTCATTCACTGAAGTTGTCCATGTACGTACTCCAACAATACTAGGGCTGCTCAAATAGTATTTGGACCAGTAGTTTGGGATTTCCCCTCATTAGGTGCAGACCAAAGGAAGTGGCTGATCAAGCTGGGGATAGACTATCACAAAATGCGATCACAAAGCAGTGAAACAGATTTCCTAGTGGGCAAGCGATTGAAAGAACCACCTCACAAATATTTTCAGTAATAGCATCATTTACATAAAGTGATGCAAGACCTAAGTTCTGGCATGTGTGAGGATAAGTTAAAAACAGCTTGTTACTTTATAGCTACACCTTGGATTTCATTAGATGGGTAAATCTAACTGTGTTTAATGAGTTCTTCTGGGAATCACTTCAGCAGGTTAAGTCAAACAGCCTGTAAAAGAGAAGACATGGCAGAGGGTGTGAGATTCATCCTTCCAAAGTTCTCGTGTTCTCTTGGAGGACAGACCCAGGCCCAAGGACAGAAGTTACCAGGAGCGAGGCTTCAACTCAATCTAAGGAAGACCTTTCTAACAGTTAGAGCTGCTCAACAACTGAATGGACTGCTTGGTGAGGTAGAATCACTGGAAGTGTTCAAGGTGGAAAGATCACCCTTGTAGAAGGGACTCCTGCATTTGTTAAGAGGTTAGACTGGATGAACCTCAGGTCTCTTTCAATTCTGAGATTCTAGAAAATTCCCTCAGGGAATTCAGAAGAGAATTCCTAAAAGGAAAGAGAAAGCACACATATGTATACTTTTAGAATCCTCTTTTTTTTTCTTTTCAAAAGGTACAATAGAAAATGTAGTCCACTGTCTTTAAAATGCAAATTCACCTTCCTACCACTAATAATTTAGGAAGGGTCCATTATGACTCCTTTATATTACAAAGAAAAGATGGAGGATTACATTTATAATTTCTGTAAATATTTTAGAAAAAAATGCTTAAAATCTAGTAGTCAATGCCCTAGAAACTTTATAGATTTTTAGGTAATATGCACAGATACAAATACATTATTCATTAAATACAACTCACATCTGTGTTTTATTATACCCTAAAATATACAGGAATCTTGATGTACTGAAAGAGTGCAAGTAAATACAGTATTCAAGCAGTCACTATTTCTATGTACATGCTCATTAATTCTTCAAAAACCCCACAAAATTATCAAATAGATCAAAATACTGTTCTGTGTTTTCACACTTTATATTCAGAAAAACCAGCTGAAATTTACAATGTCATAAAGTTTCCAGTTTCACAATACAAAAAGGGTAAAATGAAATTGGGTATCATTTTGTGAAAATTTATGGAACTTTACCCAGATCTGTAAGACCCCCTACATATGTGAAATCATTCTTGCTGGGAAAGTGAGAGTTACAGTAAAAGCAGAACCATACAAATTGTTATTTAAAAGCCTAAACATCAGCCTTTCTCTCTCTGTTATTTGAAAGGCAGTCTTCTAATTCGGCAGGCAATTGCTTCTTTCCCCAAGTAGTAGCATGTTTAAATCTGAATAGGACCCAATATAGAAATGCCTTCCAAGAGACCTGATGATGTTAACCTATCAATAACAAGGGATTTTTTTCTTTTTGATTATTCACTAAACAGTGAAAACAAAAATCCCCCAGTCCATTGTGGAGGCACAAAAGTAACATAAGTGATGAAGGTGTACCATCCAAAGTAGTGAGGTCAAAAACTCCACTCCCCAGGACCACTTAGCTGCAATAGGGTGAAAATAATCTATTTTTTGATTTCATGAAATTTTCTTCTTCTAGGAAATTCTTTACATTTTCAAACAAAAATAGTTCAATTTTAAACCTAAACCATTCAAAACGGCAACGACGGCCTGACCCCAATCTATCTCACGTCTACATCACAAGTATTTTCACCCTGACTGCACTCAGCCAGCTGGTTTTTAATTCTAATATTATAAAAGTTGGAATTTTTAAATTTTTATGTAAAAGAAAAAATGTAAAAATACATCTGCTTTCTCTCATGGTTTAATACAGTATTCGAAGGCTTTCAGATGTTTTCTTTAAAAAAAAAAACCAACATTTAAAACCAAATCTCAGCTCCATTTTCAGAAATATTTAAGTTTGGTTTAGATAATGTCTCATTTCACCTATTCTGATTTCCACAAAATGGCATTCTATTAAAAAACTTTTAAGTTACTTGGTCCTTTGGCAATTTGCTGTGCACATAATGCCTACTGTACCAAACTTTTATTGCCCTTAATTTAGTTGTAGTTTTACTGGTAAAATTTAAATCTAGTGTCCTTATCTCTTCTTTTACAATAGTGTCGCTTGTGTAAGCAGATTAGGGTGCACAGTGTCCCAAATTATTCCTGGCACTGCAAAACCAAATCAAACAATTCCACAAAGTAATTTGACATCAAAGTGTTTTCCTCTGGTCAAGTCTATTTCAAGATTCTAGAAGTTCCTTTTGTAAAACTTGCCTTTAAAACTCTTCTTCCTAATGTCATCACATTTCTCATATTTGCTCACTCTGCGATCTTTCCTCTTAGGTTGAATTTGTACGTGAATAAGAAAGTGCCTTTTTCCTGAAAAAGCACAAGCTGAAGCGTTAGTGTCAGAACTCCTCACTCAGACCCCTGGCTCAGCCTCTTAGTAGGTCTCGGAATCAGAGTCATTGAGCTCGTCCACGTCGGTGTATAAGTACTCCTGTTCTCCGCCAATGTTGTTGAAACTGCAATAGGAGCTAGGTTCATTCCTCATGATGGGCAAGGCTTCAAAGCTGACTGTTTTTGAGGTGTTGGTGTAACGGTTAATGGCACTGAAAGTCAGGGATGATAAAGGGCTACTTGATGAGACAGGCATCATGGTGGCCAAAATGAGAGCTAGGCAATCAGCCACATCCTTATTGGGAGCACAGGCCAAAGCTGGGGTATAGCCTAGAATTAAAGATAAAATTTAAATAATTAAACATCCTGAGATAAGGAAATAAGCCTAATAAACCTTCAGTTTTAGACAGTTTAAATTACTTGGCTTATAATAAAACTGGTTTAACAGAATGATTCAGAAATTTCCAATCAGCAGAAAAGAGTAAAGTCCTAGAAATTTAGGGTGGGAGGAGGCCATGTGTATATATATATATATATACACACACACGTGTGTGTGTGTGTGTGTGTGTGTATATGTATACTATGTTACAGAAGAGGAAATTGAGGCCCAGAGATGGATGATTTCTCCAAGATCTCAAAACTTATCCCTACCCACCTAAATTCACAGAAGATATTGAGCTAGAATTAAAACAAACAAACAAAAATCCTCAGACTGATCAAGCTTCCTTCAGAGTGGTGGAAGAATGTTATTAATTTGTAGTTATAATTAGTGCTTACATGCTAAGAAATCTAAATGTGTACAGATTCATGAATGAGGCACTGAGCAGGTGTTCAAAGATGTGTACTGAATGAATGGAATGACACTTGACGGTTGATCAACTTTTCTCTTAGGGACACAGAACACTGAAGAAAAACAGGAGATAAACAGGTAAACTTTAAAAACTCCTAAGTCAAAACCAATGTTTGCTTTTCAACTCTTCCTTTCTTTAGAAGACTGACTTTATACTTAAGGCACCACAAAGTATCAACAAACTAAGTTAACATTTGGTACCCTGACTGGTACAAGACCCTGTCTTCAAGATGAAGTGAGAGAAGATGGTGAGAACATACCATATGATGCCAAGTTTAGATTATCCCATACGGAACTCTAGCAGCAAATGTCTTAAAGTTTTAATTTACAGCTTCATTTTCTGTTGCACATCTGGACAGTTTTCCCTATTACTATATATACAAATGCTTTAGCTTTCACACTCATATATGTACAGTTGACCCCTGAACAATGTGGGGGCAAGGGGAAGGCTAGGGACACAAACCCCTGCATAGTCGAAAATATACGTACAACTTTTGACTCCCAAAAACTTAACTACTAATAGCCTACTGTCAACTGGAAGCCTTACCAATAACATAAAACAGTTAATTAACATATATTTTGTATGTTATATGTATTATAAACCGTATTTTTATAATAAAGTAAGCTAGAGAAAAGAAAGTCATAAGAAAGAGAAAATACATTTATAGTACTGTAAAAAATCCAAGTATTAAATGACCTATGTAGTTCAAACCTGTGTTGTTCATGGGTCAATTGTATATATTTTATAATTTTTAATTTATTATTCTTTATATTTTATTTATATTTTATAATTTTTTAAATAGCTAAATGATATATCAAAAAATAAACATTTATGTAACCACTATCCAGATTAAGAAAGAGAATATTACCAGCATACCAGGAGCCCCACATGTCCCTTACTAATCACCACCCCTTTTCTCTTCCACAAAGGTAACTACTATCTTGACTTATGTGGTAACCATGGCTGTGCTTTTCTTTCTAGTTATATTCATAAATGCTATAGTTTAGTTTTGACTTTTTTTGAACTGAATATAAATGGGATCATATAGTAAGTATTATTTTTTATCTGGCTTCTTTTCCTTAACATTATGTCTGTGAGATTTATCCATGTTGTTGTATATAACTACAGTCAGTTCGTTTTCATTGTTATACATTCCATTACTGTGATTATACCATGGTTTAGTTATCCATTCTAACTACTGGACATTTGGCTGTTTCCTGTTCTCCTATATATATATACATATATATATATTTTATCCATGCTATATTAGCCTTGAGAAAGAAGAAATATTTTTTCCCCTTTATAAATCTCCCCCTTTTTAAGGGTCAAAGGGAACAGCTGATGCCCCTGCAAACTTGACGGGAATGACTGAAGGGTGTGCATTTTTTAATTAAACCTTGTTTACTCAAAATGAGTAGGAGAGTGCTTCAATGTCCACACTTCTTTCAAGAGCTCTTCTCAAAGTCTGAGGGTGCCTGCTGGACTGTAGGCAGAACAACCCCTCAGGCAGGCCATGATGCCTTGGATGAGACTAAGGGTGGGGTTGGAGAAGAGCATCTCAGGAGTGTTTTGTAATTGGAATATGACAAGAAGCAGGCTCCTCTCCTCTGCATGGAGCTGATATGGTTAGCTAAAGAGAAAAGTAAGAGAAGCAAACAGCCTGAGGTCAAGGGTCTAATCTATCCCATGCAAGTATAAAATATTTTGCTTCCTCCAGAAAATCCATGGAAATATACTGCTATGACCTGTCAACTTTGGGTCCCGATTACTATTTCACATTGCAAAGTGTGTTAGAAGATACCCAGGTGGTCACAGATGATTTTCATTATCATCTGTTATATTATGCCTTCTGTTTATTTGTAAGGAAAAAAATATATAAAATATTGAAAATGATCAACAAAGATTTGAATATTAGCTAATGATTCAGTCTCATAATGTGGCCAAACATATAAGGTTAGCATTTTAGGCTGCTCTTTTTAATCCATATATAGTAGCTGTATTTCCAGAAATGTAATTTACTGATAATGAAAATTTCTTTTAAAGCTCTGTGAGTCTGAACTTATAGGTGATATTATTCACTTCTTTGGATTTCATGACTACACATACTTATGATTCCCAAATCTTTATGTCCAACCTAGATTTTGGTTTTGGTCTCTAGATCCATATGTCCCATTATCCACTTGGGAGTTTCCACTGAAATTTTCTCATGCCCCCAAATGAATCTGGCTCTTCCTCCTACATTCCGGTCTTAAACAATGGCACTTCCATCCATCCACAGAGCACTCCAAGCCAGGTGGGATGAGACTTCTTCCCTCACAAAGTCCCAGTGATTCCCTTCATAAGAACTCTAGAAACATTTCCATCTTTTCATCTCCAGTGCCTCTACCATAATTCTGGTTACCACTTCCTCTCACTTGTAAATGTTAATTTGTTTTCCCATTCTACTCTTGCTCTCCTTCAGACTAACTGCTAACTTCCTCGTGCACAGATCCTTTTTGCCACTTGATCTAAGAGATTCTGGCACAACTCCAATATTTACAGTGTCCTTTTATCTCTAAATATGCCACTCTCTCTGCTTAGAAAGCTCTCTCCCTACTTTTTTACTTGTCCTTTGGATTTTGGCTTACAGGTCCCTTTTTTGGGATACCTTCTCTGATCCTGCAAGAAAGAGTTTGAACACTCTCTTACATGTTCTCATAGCATTTTAAGTTAACTCCATATGAACCACTTTCAGTGCATTGTAACAGCCTGTTTACACTCCTCTCCATTTAAAGAAGCCGGTCTTATTCTACATCCTATCTTCAGAACTGAGCACAGTGCTTGGCACAATTACTCACCCAACAAATAACCACTCATTATGTCCAAGGACTCTCCTAAGCGCTTAGAATATAACACTGAATGCAACTGATATAGACTCCCTGTCCCCGTGGAGCTTATATTCATTCTAGTGGAGGAGACACACAATCAACATAATGAAAAATTAAATTATATACAATATATTAGAAGATAAGCTTTATGTAAAAAAAAAAAAAAGGCGGAAAGAAAGGGCAGGATGACAAGGACTGAGAATGCTGTGGTAGAGGTCTGTAGCAGGTTGTAGTATAAATTGGGTTAGGATAGGCTTCACTAAGAAGATAAAACTTGAGTAAAGATTTGGAACAGTTAAGGGATTTACTCAAAGACTTGCTGGAAGACAGAGCGTTCCAGGCAGAGAAAATAGCCAGAACAAAGATTACGATGCACATATATCCCTGGTGTGTAGGGGCTGTCATTGCAGAATGGAGAGAAGAGAGTAGGAGATGAGGTCAGAGAGGAAATAGGACAGCGGACTAATCATGTAGGGCCTTGACGATCACCGTAAGTCAAGTGAAATTTAAATGAGTAGTAGTATCTTGTCACGTATTTTAAAAGGATCCAGGCCAGCGTGGTAAGAATAGAAAAAGTGGAACCATTTTGGATATACTTTGGAGGTGGGTTAGTAGTATATGAAGGATTGTACCCTGGGTGTGAGAAAAAGGAGTCAAGGATAACTCCAGGTTTTTGTCCTGAGCAATTACAAGGATGAGAATTGTCATCAACTGAGATCAGGAGGCTGTGGGGAGAAAAGGGTTGGCTGGGAAAGGAGAGAGAGTCAGTTCAGTTCTGGACAGGTTAGGTTTGAGCTGTTTATTAGATATCCATACAGTACTGTCAATTAGGCAGCTGGATCTGCAAATGGATCACATCTCTATAGAGATTGTGAGAGGTCTGGGCTGGAGATATAAATCCAGAAATTCTCAGCATGTAGGTAGTATCAAAGAACCAAAGGACTGGATATAGACAGGGGAAGCAAAAAGAACCAAGGACTGAGTCCTAGAGCCCTCCAATATTAAGAAGTTAGGGAGAAACTTTACAAAAGAAACTGAGAAGGAATAACTAGTAACACAGGGTGAAAACCAAAGAAGTGTGAAGTCCTAAAAGCCAAGTAAAAAAAGTTTAACAAAGAGAAAAGTATATAGAAACTAATCTAATGTTGCATGTTAATTATGTCTCAATTAAAAAAATTATAAAATAAAAAACAAATTTCAGTTCCAGTGAATTTGGTTACTTAATCCAACCATCAAAACAGCAAGTTACGAACCCTAACCCAGTTAATCAATTGAAGGAACCAGGTATTTGTGAATGAAGGCAGACTGGATTCACCTACAAAAGGATACTGTAATCAAATCAAATGACTCTCCCTCTTAACCCGACCTAAAGTGATCTGTACCTATTTATCCATGTAACAAATGTGCAGCATAAAGGAAAATATGGAGAAATATTTGGGGAAATATTGGACACTTGCTATGGCAGACTGCAGCCTTCACATCCCTAGTTACTCCCTTATTCCTATATATTTTAAATTCTATATTAAAACCTTTATTCCTATTAAAAAAAAAGAAAAAGGAATAATCAATTGTGCTAAATTCTGATTGGTCAGGTTCAATGAGAACTAAGAACTGACTCAATATTGTGGAGATCACTGGTGATCTTGAGGACAGTGTAGCAGTATGGTGGGGGCAAAAATATGACTGGGGGGGCCTCAGGAGAGAATGAAAGAGGGGAAGAATTGGGCACAGCAGGACAGCCAACACTTGAGTAATTGTGCTGCAAAGGGGAAGAAAGAAATATAGCAGTAGTTGCAGGAATAGATTAATGGAAGATTTTTTTTAAGCTTTTATTTATTTAAGAGAGAGAGAGAGAAAGAAAGCATGAGCAGGAGGGGGAGGGGCAGAGGAGGAAGCAGACTCCCCACTGAGCAGGGAGCTCGATCCCAGGACACCGAGATCATGACCTGAGCCACCCAGGTGCCCCTTAATAGAAGATTTTTTAAGATGAGGAAAATAATGTTTATATACACATGGTTATAATCTAGGAAGAGTCCTACAAAAAGTCCTTGTTATAGGACACAGTGATGAATTGCTAAGTGACAGTCTCAAATAGGCATAAGGGGATAGGATCATGAATAGTGGGAAGATTAACTTTAGATAAGAACCTGGCTCTTAAGGGCCATGATAAGTATTTGCTGACAGAACAAATTCTTTGAATACTAAGACGGACGGAAGGTGATAACACTAAACCAAAGTTAGTGAAATTCGGAAGTTCATCTGTTATATAGACTTTTCTTATTTTTCTTGCTCTTACTCCCTTTGCCACAAAGTACTATTCAGTATTAATTTCCGCTCTCCTCTTCGACCAATACAAAATATCCACATTTACTTCACTTCAAATACGGGTTGAAAGATAAAAGCTTCTAGTAAAATATAGGTTAATGAAAGAAAATACAGAACTACTTACCATTTTCATCTACTGCAAGCACACTTGCTCCTTTCCCCAAAAGTTCCTGAACCACCATTGTCAGCCCATTTCGGGCAGCAACATGCAGAGGTCTGGGGGGAAAAAAATTGCATATGTACACACAGAGAGGTACATGGCCCTGAGTGTACACACACACACACACACACTTCCTCTCTCTCTCTCTCAATCCTGGTTGTTGAAGGGCATTTTCGCTAAGTGGTGATGACCAAGAAATACAAAACTGAGGCACCCAGTCCTAACAGCAATACAGATGGGAATGGGGGACAACAAAATCAATGTGCAGAGTGAGCTGCCAAACCCCGCAATGTGCATAAACATAGCACTGTCCCCCCAGCAATCCACCTTTACCAACACCTTTTGTTTGTTTCAAACAAAGGTAGTGAGTCTAAGACTCAATGTTTAAGAAGATTTTACTAACTAAACTGCATTCTTAAGTTGTTTTAAGAATGAGGTGGGCAAATACATATAATAGAATATACAATAAAACCCATTAATTTAATAGCACAAATTTTAATAGGCTTTGAAAATAACTTACAGGTTCTATGACTAATTTTTAGGACCCTCAGGAGATCTGACTGATACGTGAATAGGAACCAGTATTAAAAATATAAATATATTTTTTAAAACCAAGACTCAAAGTAGAATAGCAAATGGAAATTGGGAGAGAAAATCGGAGACTTCAATCTAAGATCTAAGCAGTCACTTGAAAGATGGCTGCTCACATTAAGAACTTGATTCTTTCTGAAATCTCTCTAGTTTACAGACACATGTCAAGCTTTTTACCTCATTTATTGCTGGGGTCAAATAACATTATTCCAGTTGATTTCCATAAAACATACAGAACAGTATTACTTTCCTATATAAAATTATGGGTTGGATCAAGAAAAAACAGTATTTTCAATAATGAAGTTTCAGTACAAAACCTTTTTAAATAATAAGCCTTTTAATTGTAATGACTTTAGAAATGAGTTTTGGAAATTATAAAAATTATAAAAACTGTTCTTTACTTATTAACTGCTTCTGTGACTGAGACTGATTCCAATGGTCCCATGTTAGAAAAAGAACCTATTAATCATTTTTATAATTACAGGTCACAAGGTTTACACCAGACATGAAAATACTCACGTTTGCAAGGCTGCATTGGTTGCATTGATGAGGTTTCTATCTGTTATCTTTTCCAGTATTAACAAGGCACTAGTTTCATGACCCTAAAATTATGGCAAATAACTCTTAAAAACTTAGATATCATTAAAGATAAATATATAAACTCAATAAACCTCAACTCTTGTCCATACAATATATACATCACCATATATATGCCATGAATTTTTTTTTTGGCTAATAATGCCTCAAATATTGGTCCAAATATGTTGGTGGAATAGGTTAGGGGAGAAGACAGGAATATTTAAGACTGGAGAGATTAAAGGAAGACAATAATTACGTTTAGGCTAACACTCCAAAACTTACTTGGCCCACTGGAGACTTTCATATATCATGGTGCCTAAAAGGGCAGTATTTTTTTTTTCCCCCTCAAGAAATCTGATGCCAGTGATCAGTAAAGAGGTTTGATCTCTAGCTCTGTTCACTTCGGTGAAGTAGGAAAGCTTCCCTAAGTTTGGGAAAAATGCCACTGTTGATATAAACAATGAAAACATATCCTTAAAATGTGTACCTACCTTGCTGCAAGCCAAATGGAGGGCGGTGTTTTTACTGTTATCTTGTAAAGTCAGATCTGCACTAGCACTGCTAACCAGCATCTCTGGGAGGAAAAATTGCATCAAGTCTTATATTTATGAACACATATCTTAGATTACTAATAAACTCACTGTACAGAAATAAAGATACAAAGCAACAATATCCCTCTAGTGAAAGTTTAAGAAAAATACTATAACCTAAAATGTACACACTATATCATCACATTATCCTGTAAGTCACAGACACAATGGCAACTAACATTTATGCTGTGAGAGAGCTTACTAAATTTCAAATACTGCGTTAAGCACTCTGGATTCATACTCTCACAATAATCCTACACAGTAGGCACTGTTAATTTTCTCAACTTTAAAAATGAAAAAATTGAGTCATAAGGTCACTTAATTGGTAGATCTAAGACTCCTATGCAGTCCATCTAACTCCAGAGCCAGGGTCTTACCTGCTATCTTACACTGCCCTATTATAGTAAGACTGTTTAATCTCAAGGGCAAATGAAAACATTGTGGCCCTAGATAAAAATGTGGGTTGAAAGTGGGTTAAAGGTTTTATTTATTTATTTAAAAAAAGGATTTTATTTATTTATTTGACAGAGAGAGACACAGCGACAGAGGGAACACAGGCAGGGGGAGTGAGAGAGGGAGAAGCAGGCTACCCACGGAGCAGGGAGCCCGATGTGCAGCTTGATCCCAGGATCCCGGGACCATGACCCGAGCCGAAGGCAGATGCTAACGACTGAGACACCCAGGTGCCCCGAAAGTGGGTTAAAGGTTTTAAATCTCAGGAGTGGGGAGTTAACTGTGGCAAATTTGACAGAGTCAGAAGGCTTGGAATCTTAGTTTTCCATAAGTTAAACACACATAAGCAATATAGCATTATATAGCATTAGAATAATACAAGCCTTAACCAGTGTCTTTACCAACTGTATTTGTCTGTCCATTTTCTGCAGCCATCATGAGAGGTGTTTTCCCAGAAGAGTCTATAGAATTGACTTGAGCATTATGGCTGAGCAGCAGCTGTAAACACTCTATGTGGTCTGTGAAGGCGGCCGCATGGAGAGGGGTTCTGTAATACAAAGAAATGGGAAGACTTCACTAAATGTTTGTCATATACTCTAGAAAAAATTATTTCTGAATTTATGACAAGCAATTTTCAAAGGTTTACATAATTAGGCTATAAAATCACTGCCTGATACAAATAGGCTTAATGGAGCTTACTAATTTTTGCCAGACTAATTTGTATTTCTGATAATATAAAAGGCCCTTAAACTAGTATAACATAAAATTGCTAAAAAAAATTATCATCACTAAGGAAATTTTAGAAGAAATAAATCCTCATCCAACATTGCCACCTAATATAACTGGTGGATTCTCCTCCAGCCTTTATTTATATTTAGAAAACTTTTAACTTTATTAACAATAATCTTTGGGTAACAAACATACCTTTAAAAAAGGGGGGGAATCTTACATTTTACAAGTTCTAAAGAAGAAGACTGGCTAAAAATCGTAATAACAAAGCCTTTTATGAGAATTATATAATTATATATAAATATTAATAATATTTACCATTATATATAAATATAAATATTACACAAAAATTTATAATGTATTATAAATATTAAGATTTTATAATAATTTGTACTTCCAAATATAAAAATCAACTTTTACTTAATAATGGGTTCTCTGTTAATTCTTCCACACTAGTCTAGTAGTTAAATTTTTTTTTCCTATTGCAAGTCAAGCTATTTTCTACAAGGTTGAATTCCTACCTTCCTTTTGAATCTGTGGCGTTCACGATGCTGGCACCTAAAGTATCAATTAACATTTCAGCAGCACCTTCGTTGTCATTTATCCTGTGTAAGGTAACAAAGTGATCACTCTCACAGCAATGGTGTATTTCTTAAATAGTCAAACGAAATCTGATTCATCTGCCTTTACTTACACAGCACAATGCAAAGGACTGAAAGCATTTCCTTCCATTTTCTGGAAAACTTCCTGTTCTAAAAGAAGTTCTACACATGTCTCATGACCTAAATAAGTAAATGAGAATCAGATATTAAAATCCAAAAAAGATAATCAAGTGCCCAAATACACCCACATATCCCTAACACAAATAAGAAAAAACTTTACATGGATTAAAAGTAACTGAGTTCACTGAATGCATTAAACATCGTATTTTTAGGAGTTTTAAAATCCAAAGTACAATCTCAAGACCTGAAATTCAGAAGCTTCTTGTAATTTTATAGCAGTTTATTACTGACACAACAAATATTTGTTTTGTGGGGAAAAAATTTACTATTGTTAATCTTTTTCATGATGACCGGCTAGAGATATTCAGTCATTTTTTCTTTCTTTTTTTTTTTTTTATTTGAGACAGAGAGAATGAGAGAGAGAGAGCACATGAGAGGGGGGAGGGTCAGAGGGAGAAGCAGGCTCCTTGCTGAGCAGGGAGCCCGATGCGGGACTCGATCCAGGGACTCCAGGATCATGACCTGAGCCGAAGGCAGTCGCTTAACCAACTGAGCCACCCAGGCGCCCGAGATATTCAATCATTTTTAAAAAAGTCTTATTTATATAGCATAACTTTAAAATTAATACATATTTATATAGCGTCAAAAAATGTAAATATTTTCTGATTTTAGTAATGAGCTAATGATAAAATCTCAAATACTACAGGTAGTGTCTAGAAGGAAAAAGTACATGTCCCTGTCCCCACCACCATCTCCAGTTCCACTTTCTAGACTGTAACCACTATTACCTTAATAGTTCCAGGAAATTTCTAGGCATATACAACTGCATGCACATAAACATGTACTACTTCCTTTTAAAATTTTTATGCAAATTTTTAATTCTGCAACTTGCTTTTCACTTTAATAAATTGCATACATCCTTCCATAATAGCATATATAGAAATCTTATTCTTGAATCTTTGGAAAAACTTCACAGCATTAAAGTGTATTATAAATGATTTTAATTTCTAATTATGTATTTTGAGGTGACTGCTAGTTTGCTTCTGTTATATTACCAAACATGCTGTAATGAAATATTCCAGTACTTTATTTAAAACATTTTTTTTAGATTTTATTTATTTTTGTGCGCCTGCGTGAGTGACGGGGAGAACCAGGGGGAGAGGCAGACTCCCTGCTCTGAGCCTGCTGGGATCATGACCTGAGCTGAAGGCAGACACTTAACCCACTGAGCCACCCTCTGGTGGCTCTCTGGTACTTTTTTTTAAATTTTTTTAAAACAAGTATTTTTGTAGGATAATTTCCTAGAAATGATACTGCTGGGTTGAAGGACAAGTATAGATTACTGATAGGTATCAGGCCCACAGTTTTTATTTATTTATTTTTAAAGATTTTATTTATTTGAGAGAATGCGCGCACATGTGCGCATGTGAGTGGGGGGAGGAGCAGAGGGAGAGGGGGAGCGAGAATCTCAAGCAGACTCTGGACTAAGTGCAGAGCCAGACACTGGGCCAATCCCACAGCCCAAAGACCATGACCTGAGTCAAAATCAAGAGTCGCTCAATGGACTGAGCCAGTCAGGTTCCCAGGCCCACAGTTTTTGAAGACAGGAAAAAACCCAAACCTCAGATTTTCTTTACCTAATTTTCAAAGCCAGGATTTTAGTTAAAATACCCCAATTGCTATATTAATTGCTGCAAATGAAATGCTACATCATTTATTTCATTAGTCATTTGGAACCTGCTTTAGGAATAAATTACATTCTTACACAGGTTCTTTATTTCTATGGCTTAATATTTGGCTAACAAAGTGATGCTGGGCTTATTTTCTTTTTAATTACTCTAACATTCGCAAATAATAGCTCAACTTAATCTTTATCCTATAATTGTTTTTACCAGGGAAAGAAAGTAAGTTTTAGGAAACCTATAATTGTTTCATCTTATGTTAGTTATTTTCTCTAATCCAGTGGTTCCCAACTGGAGCAGTTTTGCCTTTCAGGAGACATTTAGCCATGTCTGGAGAAATTTTTGCTCATCACAACTGGGCATGGGATAGGAGGGTGCTACTCTCATTTAGCGGGTAGAGGCTAGGGAAGCTGCTAAAAACCTTCAATCCACACGGCAGTCACTCACAACAAAGAATTTTTGCCAAAATGGCAATAGTGCTGAGGTTGAGAAGCCTTGCTTTAATCTTCTCTCTCCAAATGTCAACTCATTACCAAGAAATAGCCATGGAAAGTTGTCCAGTATAGATTTAAGAGTTTCCTATCTTCCTAGAATAGTAGTTCTCAAGGTGTGGGTCTGGGGAACCTTGGGGTGCTACTGCAAACTAGTCTTCTCTTAAACTAGCCAGTAAGGAAATTTGCCACCCTTCTCACTAAAATTGTTTTTTGTTTTGAAAAGAAGTTATTTTTTATAAAAATGTTATTTCTATTAATATTTAATGGATTTATTATTTTAAAGTAAATTAATAAATATCCTTAAATTTCTCAGTTCTCATTTCCAATACAGTAAATATTGACAGCTCTAACTCCCAGATCTTGAGACTGAAAGATTTGAGAACTACTGAGCAGACTGCATACTGCAAAAAGACAGTTCTGGGCTACTGATTACCTCTAGCAATCATATCAAGCTGAAAACTCATCACTTTGCATCCTAGTTTATGAAAGGATGATACAAATGGTCTCTTCATGTTTCAGAGGGATATTCTGAGAACACTTAAGAGCTTCAAAAAAATTTTATCCATTTTTAAAAGAAACAAAGGGATAATGTAAGTACTCTTAAGTTCTGTGATTGAATGATTACACAAACTGAAAATCTGGACTTTAAAATGTAGTATGTATAACCAGTTCTTTTCTAACACTTTGTCATCATTTCAATTTTGAAAGAAAGGTTGTTTTCTGGTTTGTTAGAGTGCTTCCAATTTTGTTTTTAGCCATACAATAATTTACTAGTGGAAGTAAAATCATTTTACATATTCTACTCTCAGAATGCCAAATTATAAAATAGACTTTCGACTATAAATATGGTATTAATTTTAGACTACTTGTATAGTCTCTTATTGCATATAGCCAACACACATCTAATTCCTTTCAGCTCAATTCAGAACCTGCACAAATTTGCTACAGTCTGGAAATTAGACACATCTGCTATGATCTTTAAATGGTAACCAGGCATGTAGTTCATGCAAAATTTTGTCTGTTTTGTCTCTCGTACACAACATGCTTAGAAAATCTAAATTTAGCAGTAACAGAGTAGGAATTCACTTTAGGGAAACAGTGTTCTCCATAAAGACCTGATAAGAAATGTAACAGACAGCAACTCTCCAAAGGGCAGTTAAAACAGCAGTTTATTCACAACTGAATGCTCTGCATGAGGAAAGATAGCTTACTGTGTGATTTTTTCCAATGGTTAATTCTCATTGATATATTAAAAAAAAAAAAAAAAATCAAGCAATAAAAGTCTGCTTCAAAACAGTTTCATTTCTTGGGGTGCCTGGGTGGCTCAGTCAGTTAAGCATCCAACTCTTGATTTCGGCTCAGGTCATGATCTCACGGTTGTGAGATGGAGCCCCACAATGGCTCTGTGATGGGTGTGTGGAGCCTGCTTAAGATTCTCTCTCTCCCTCTCCCTCTGCTCTTCCCTACCCCTCTCTAAAAACAAAAACAAAGAAACCCAAAAAAACCTAGTTTCATTTCTTAAATAAAACTCACATCTGTAGGCGTTTCCCTACAATATTAGATGGTTTTGGTTTTCGCTGTACTTGTAAAATGTCAGGTTACATTATAAAAACAAATAAAATTCCAATGGCAAAATATAGTTATCTTTTTAAATTCAGGACTAATCTTTGGCCATTTCACTATATTCATTAAATACCAACTTTACTGAGTAGAAAAGAAAAAAAAAGAAGTTGAAATCCAAAGGTTTTAATCTTCAAAACTGTTCTGGCTTAGGATCTGAGGTAGTAAAAATGAAACGGACTAAACTAAGCTTGTGAATTAGCAATACTCTTAACTATTCAAGTTTTGATGGTACCATCAAAATGGTACTCAGAGATGATGGATGCCCAATAGTAATCACAGAACAATCCTCAAGAAGAGACCAAAACTTTCTCCTAGCAAAAGATTAGAACTGTCAATTCTGGCACAAGAATTAATAAGAAAATTGAAATACTGCATCTAGAAAATACTTACGAAAACACTTAAACTATAATTTTGCAAGATTCAGGTTTCTCCCCTTTCACTGTAACTCAAGATTATCTGTCAACATGGCTCTAGTCAAAGAACCATGAAGCAACACATTACAGAAAGGCAGAAACCTCAACTCTCTGGTAAGGTAGTCAGCTGGATTTTAGAACAGATACTGATTTTTTTTAAGCAAGTCAGTATTTTTATCAAGAGGCAATTTATATTTTCTTAGTATTTTGAGGGAAAGTTACTAGAATTGTGAACTAGTTTTTCAGGTATGCTCTCACAACTAACAGTAATCTAAATGCTACAATGAAATTCAAAACAAATTAAAAGCCCCCTCACATCCCTGGCTAAAGCCCCAAGCCCAAACTTTTGACAGAGTTGATGTTTACAATGTACATAATGTACCCTAGCATTTTCTAACATGATCAAATCTGTGGCCCTACACAAGGAAAAAATCATTATCTCTCAACATGCCTCATCAGTTAAATTATCTTTTTAGTGACATTTCATAAGCCAAACTCCACTTTGAACATATATACCTTAAACATAGCTTTATACTTCTCTGAGTCACAGTTAGTGAGATGACTGGCCGTGAGCTTCTAGGAAGCCAAAGGTCAGTATGTTCTTTTTTTTTTTTTAAGATTTTATTTATTTATTTGACAGAGGGAGACACAGCAAAAGAGGGAACACAAGCAGGGGGAGTGGGAGAGGGAGAAGCAGGCTTCTCGCTGAGCAGGGAGCCCGATGTTCTAATCATGCAGCAAAGTTAACTTAACCATAAAAGTTTCTAAGTTTCTAGTTCTGCGATCTGCTAAGATTTTATTCCCTTAAAATGTTAAGCAAACATGTTACTGTTGATAGAAGGATCTATCTTGCAATGTGCTCAGAAAACATACACAGATTTCAGTTTAGAATGTGATACATTTTCATTTTTTGCTGCCTGTCTTTTTTCCCTAATAGAAGTATGCTTAGAAAGTAAAAGAACATAATCAAACTACAAGCATACTATATAAAAGACATTGTAAATATTATAAAAGTATGTTAAAAATGCAAAATAGCTGTTGAAGCAAAGATCTAAGAAAAATTTCAAACTTAATGATAGTTTATTTCAAAAGATCTTTGACAAACTAGTGCCTCAGCTTTACCATGACAAGTGATAGGAGTAAGCTTACAACTACGTAGTACAGCATTTTTATGCCTCCTACTGTTCTTATAGTTGCCTATTAAATATTCATGAATATCAGAATGTGTTACAGTTTGTTGTCTCTGCTTGGTACATTAACAGGCATTTAATGCAGATTTGTATCTGTATACTCAACCGTTGTAGCAGGCCCAGTGAAGTGCTGTATATCCATGATTGTCTGCTATGGCTGGATTTGCATCCACGGATGCTGCTGACTGCAAAAGGGCTCCAAGAACACCAATGTGTCCACAGGCAGCTGACAAGTGTATAGGTGTCCGGCCCCTGCTATCTCGAAATAAGCACTTAGCACCATGTTGAAGTAATGCATCTACACATTCTTCGTGGCCTGTAACTGCCTGAAAGAAAAAGTATTTGCAGGTAGTTGAATATATTATTTTGGGTACTATATGCCAACTAAAAAATTTTTAAAAGTCTGTATTCCCCATAATTATCCATCAATCAAAGCATTTATCATTTTTTGAGTAATTCAGTATTTTTATTGGAACTGGCTTAAAAATTCATGTATAGCAGTAACTTTGTCAAAATACAAGTATCATGAAAAACAGGAATAAAGGAACTTATAAATCAGTGAAAACAATGAAGGCAAAAAAGGTGAATGGTTGCAAAGGTGAAAAAGACAAAAATGTGTAAGAAAATAGTTATAATAATGAGAAAAAGTAAATGGGACATTAATTCTACTCAAGGTCTTGGGGTTTTAAAATTTTGTTCCAACACTGTTTCCTAGATTAAGTTGTGTGTTTTTTTTTTTTTTTAAGATTTTATTTATTTATTTGACAGAGAGAGATACAGTGAGAGCGGGAACACAAGCAGGGGGAGTGGGAGAGGGAGAAGCAGGCTTCCCGTGGAGCAGGGAGCCCGATGCGGGGCTCGATCCCAGGACTCCGGGATCAAGACCTGAGCCAAAGGCAGACGCTCGGTTGTTGAGCCACCCAGGCGCCCCGATTAAGTTGTGTTTTGTAGTTGTTTAAAATTAGCATTCAAAAACTATTTGGTAAAAATTTGATGAAGAAAAAAAACATAGCCTAGTTCAGTCTTAGGCAAAATGAGATCCTAAGAAATTTTTTATTAAAGGCAATGGGGATATTTTTGCTTACCCCTCTATGCAATGCTGTCCTTCCCCATTTATCTTTGGCATCTACATTTGCTCCTTTGTTCAGCAGTGAGTAAACACAGTCCGTGTGCCCATTGAGAACAGACAGCATCAGAGGAGTCCTGAGCAACAACAGGAATAGGTTCATTGTTACCACCTAAGACTCCACTCCATGAAAAACAAACAGTGTGCTGGCCTGTTTTCTAAACATGCCTTTTTGTGATGCAACTTTAAAGTATACTTAAATGAGAAAACTATACTTGATATTATTCAGTTAACATACTATGACAGACTTACTAAAATAAGGGCAGAAGTATGAAGATTAACACACATCTTAAAAATAATTTAAAAATTATTAAAACTTACTGTCCATTTCCATCTTGAATGTCTACTGCATTCTGCGGTTCTGCATTTCCTATTAGTAGCCGCAAGCACTCTGAATGACCGTTTGTTGCTGTAAAGTGATATTTTAAAATTTCAGTAATTACAATGGTAAAATAGAAAATTTCCATCTTAGGGCACATTTTCTAGATGTTTAACTGTGGGATAGTGTCAATGAATTTAATAGTCAAAGAAAAAATATAGATACAAAGGTTTCTACTGCCTTTGTTGGTGAAACTGAATAGATATAAATCCATCATGGTAAATTATGGCCATAGCCATCCCTCACCATCTGCCCTGCCTATAGAATGCTCATTTTATTTGGAGCTCTGGTGGTGGGAGTGTGATTAAGGGAAGGCACCCTGCCTTCAGCCAAGGGATGAAATCGAGATTAGATCAAGTCCATCACAACTCTATTCTTTGCCAATGACTGGTTTCAAGATGAGTGCTGGTCTAGTCTGACCACTGAGATGCTAATAAGTCTGAGGGCTTCTGGGAAATATTTTTATCCCTGATAACGACAAGTCCTTCTTCTTTTCCTTATTTTTGATGTGAATCCTGTAAAGAAGCAGTAGCCATTCTGTGCCATGACTGCGAAGGCAAGAGAATAGAGAGCTTGGACACCACTGCTGAATCAATCAGTCCCAGAGCTGACTCTACCTCTGAACATTTTATGTGAGAGGGTAAACACTTGTCACTTAAGCCACCTTTTAGCTGGGTACTATGAAAGAATTCCAACTGATACATATATAATAAAAGAAGAAATGATCTATCTAAAGACTGCATTTATATGTCCAAACACATAATATGTGCAATGGTATAAAACAGAAGTAGCCTAAAGAAAACAGTAAGCTTTTAAGGTTTTATTTATTTATTTGAGAGAACAGAGAGAGACAGAGATAGTGAGAGATAGCATGAGTGGGTAGGAGAGGGAGAAGCAGGGTCCCCACTGAGCAGGGAGCCTGATGTGGGGCTTGATCCTAGGACCCTGGGATCATGACCTGAGCCGAAGGCAGATGCTCAACCGACTGAGCCACCTACGCGCCCCAAAACAGTAAACTTTTAAGGTAAGTTAAATCCTCTGCAAAATTCAGGACCTTCCCATAATACAATAAAATTTGAAGTTTAAAGTAATATAAAACTTACATAAATGATGCAAAAAGGAGTATCTATCACTGTTTTTCCTAATTAAAAGACAAATTAATAAAAGCAAGCTAGGTGCCCTAATATTCTACAGTACCTTCTAACAACTATATTAAATTCTAATAGTTATTAATTAAGACTTATGGTACAAGATCATTCCAATCTATATGCTATACTCTGCCAACAACTCTCACTGTAATCATTAACAGCTGTCATTGAAGCATCTCACTTGGGGATGCATCAAGGAAATTGTTTGGCCTGCCACTTATTTAATGGACTCACTTGCACTCAGTACACAGTAACTCCTGAAGAGTTTTGTGTTTTATAAGTTCAGTACCTAAAACATCAAGCATAACATCACTGGGGGGGAAACTGGTTCCCTCTTGGGAAAAAAATCACAATGTCTTCTTCATGACTTATGAATAAGGTGCTAACAATCTCCACATTTGAAAGGCATCTATAGAACCAGGTTTGCATTTATTAAATAGGTAGGCACCAATAATAACCTGCAGCTTTTTCAGTGGATAGGATGTATAGACTATCTGACATTGGTTAGCCACTTCTGAGGGACTGGCTAGTGTCTTGGTTCAATATTTATCAATTAAGAGTGCAAACCACTCCATGAAAGCTTTAAATCAGCTCTGCAAATGATCTGTGCTTACAACACAATTTTTCAAGTTGCAGAACGGTATATAAATTTCATTTTTTTTTTCAGAGTAATATAATAGAAAAGGACGGCACTTTGACTTCTTAATTATTACCATATAGCAGTTTATATATATACATTTATTAGGAATTTTAACCCATTTATAAATTTTTCTGTTTTTGAGCCCTGCTTGAATATCTGACAGTTTCTGAAAGGCTGCTTTGGAGCAACAGTGGGTGTTTAACCTAGAGTCTTCAAAAATGCAAGTTTCCTAAAGGACTAAAAGTGAAGTCCAAGACCCATGTTAAAATGTGTCCTTAAAAATCACTCTATAAAAACAGACTAACTGAAATGAATCTAATCATATAAAGGAGGCCTACTGGGGGTGAAAAAAAAATACTTGGCTAGGATTTCTTCCAGTGTACCAGTCTTAGCTATTTAAAATGAATACAGGGGCGCCTGGGTGGCTCAGTCGTTAAGTGTCTGTGTTTGGCTCAGGTAAAGATCCCAGTGTCCTGGGATCGAGCTCTGCATCAGGTTCCCTGCTCAGCGGGAAGCCTGCTTCTCCCTCTCCCACTCTCTCTGCTTGTGTTCCCTCTTTTGCTGTCTCTGTCAAATAAATAAATAAATAAAATCTTCAAAAAAAAAAAATAAAATGAGTACTGACTTGTAGTAATTCCTATAGAGAGTTGTAAATCTACATGTGCTAGGGATACACAGCAGTACCAAGTCATACAATGACATGGTTACATAATTTTGAATTTTCACATATTTGCAACATCACAAAATCACACCATGGAGTAGATCTTACATAAAGTAGGTGTTTTATAACTCCTGTCTGAATATATGTTTAATTTAAAGCAGCACCCTAGTACAATAAGCCAAAATGTTCACTAACTGTAAAATGAAAGCACGTACCAATCCAAAATAACTTCCATCAAAAAGAAGTAAAAAATATTGCATTGTTTTGTTGATGAAGTACTTCAGAAGTTAGACTACTACATAAATCCAATTTCTAAGGTAGATAATGTTTTAAAGCAATCATAATCTTGCTGTTGGCTTTTCCTTGAAAGAAGAATTTGACCTTTTATTTTTCTAAGATTTTATATATTTACTTGAGAGCAAGTGCACGTGCATGAAAGGAGGGAGGAGCAAAGGAAGAGGGACAAGCCGACTCCACGCAGGGCACAGAGCCTGCCATAGGGCTCAATTCCAGGACCCTGAGATCATGATCTGAGCCAAAAATCAAGAGTCAACCGCTTAACTGAGCCATCCAGGCACGCCTCGTTCAACTGTTTAAAGTCAACATTATTAAAATAATTACCAGGAGTACAACACACAAAAAATTGGAAAAGAAAAGAGTATTAGACAAAGTGGTAACTAAAATCATGCATCATTTTTTACATACCTGCAGCATGTATAGGTGTTCTCTTCAAAATGTAGTCTTTTACTAAAATTGAGGCTCCCTGATTAATGAGTACATCCACACATTCAACATGGCCCTTAAATGCTGCAAGATCTAAGGGTGTTCTTCCACTACTATTTCTCACATCAAGATCTAACAAAGACTGTACCAACACTTCTAGTGCTTGATGGTGACCATGATAGGCCTAGGAATAAATAAAAATATAAATTAAAAAAGTACATATTTAGACTCACTTCTCAGATACCTTAGAAAACATAAAGGAAGTAATAAAACTTGTCTTCGCATTATTATTATATTTGAGATAATCTAAAACTTGCATGTTGAGAGTTCAGAAAAGTTAAGTATAAATTTTTCTAATAACTAAATAGTAGGCTACGGTGTTAGAGAATGGGTATTCTGCAGAGAATAATTGTTCAAATGACAGGTGATTTTATCACTAGCATACAATGGTCTGGTTCCTGGCATTCAATGAATGTGTAACATAGATTCAGTTAAAGTTTCATTCTAAGTCTATGACTGCAGAGCCTGTGCTATTAATTACAGTTCAGTGCTCTGCTTAACTCCCTGATAAAATTTTACTATACTTAAATTATAGAGATAGCCAGCAACTAAAGTTAATTAGTTTTTGAGTCTTCTGATTTCTCAAACTGAAATGACTATCCTTACTTCATAACATGCTGTATCTAAAAAATAAACTTTTCTTTTAGCACAAAAATACTTAACACTGGGCCCGGCCTGAATAACTGCCATGTGCCCGGTACTAGCTATACAATAGAGGACGAATGTGTAAAGGTTTGTCAGACTGAAGTCCCCTTCTTTTTTTTTTTTTTAAGATTTTTTTTTTTTATTTGAGAGAGAGAATGAGAGAGAGCACCATGAGAGGGGGAGGGTCAGAGGGAGAAGCAGACTCCCTGCCGAGCAGGGAGTCCGATGCGGGACTCGATCCCGGGACTCCAGGATCATGACCTGAGCCGAAGGCAGTCGCTTAACCAACTGAGCCACCCAGGCGCCCTGAAGTCCCCTTCTTTACCACAGTCTGATGAAGAGGCTTTCCACGTAATTCATATCAAAAACCAACATGTCAACTGAACATCTATTATTCTCGTTGGACTAGATGCTGAGCAAGACATAAAGCAATTAACAAGACCCAGTAGCGGCACACAAGGATTGTTCTCTCTAGTTCACTCATATTACCATTTTGTAGCTAAAGGACTTTCATACATCATTACTGATACCATTCAGAACTACAGCTTAGCAGTTTGTTACCACATGTGAAGGTTTCACTGGGAATTGAAAAATATAAGTCTACCAGATTTGAGCTAAATCTGAAAAAAAAGATACATAGCTAGAAGAAGACCCCACACTGCAGCAAAGGGCTGTAAAGTTATTTCTTGCAGAAAATGTCAGAAAGTACCAGGAAGATGTAAAGTTTCTCTGGGCCTTACTAATCTCTTTGATGTTTCTGACTACCTAGAGATTCTCAACTATCTCAAAGATTAAAGTAACTGGAGATTAAGGAACTCTACTGTCCTAGGGTCATATTTAATCTTGTTCCTCAATACTGGGTCAATGAAATTATGCTACTAGCAGAAAGAACTTTAAGAAACACAATGTATGCAGAAGATAGTATACAACAACAAGAAGAGACAAAATAAGGATGACAAGAAGCCATGATGATTTGCCAGAGAGGTGTTCCCCTCATGATGTCCCTGTATAAGATGGAGACAAGGAATTTGTACATGTACTATGTGCAAAGACAAGAACCAAGACCTCAAGCTGGTGTGTTTTCATAGCATCAAGGTGTCCCGGATTGGGAGAGTTTGGAAGGGAAAAAAAAAAATCACTTCAAGTTAATTTTTGAAAACCTCCTAGGAACAGATATAAAATGTGAAAAGTGGTGGTATAATCACAGTTCACTGAGCCTAATTACTAAATTAAAAATTGTTTCCATTTCAGCTTAAAAACACTATTCAGCACAGCCATGTTCATATATAGCACCACTATACATAATAGCCACGAAGTAAAAAAACTAGTAAAAAAAAAAAAAAAAAAAAGAAAGTTTTTGAGCTAAAGTACTCAAAAACTTGGCACAGTGCTTCGTCTGGCACCTAGTAAGTGCTTAGGAAATGGCAGTGCTAGTATAAGAATAATGGTGATGACGTAAGAAGAACTGCCTAGTCATCTGCTCAGACTTCATTTCTTGCCACCAACAGTAAAATAGCTATTTTCTCCATGCTCGTTTTGCCCTTTCAGGTGACTTATTTACTCTGCAAGTCTGGGAGAGCATATAGTATTTCCAGAGACCCAAAGGGCAAGGAAGCAGGAAGATGCAGCATACCTCCTCAGTTATTCAGAAAATAGTAGGAAGTACTAGCAGGGAGAAAGGTGCAGAAAATTCAATGCAGATGCGTCAGTGTTAGAAAATATGCAAGGAGAAAATTATAAAAAAAATAATAGCATACATGAGAAGAAACAAAGCGATCAGTGAACTTGTAGTGATCCTCATTAACTTAAGTATATACCCTTATAAACATTTTACTATACGTAAAACCAGAAATCTCCCAAACAGCTAGTGACTGTATCCGAGTCTCCTGATTCTCAGTCTTCCTCTCACCCCCAACAACTGTTAATACGCTCTGTTCCAAAAACAGACTCTTCTTTCAGCATAAAAAGAACAAGATTGGGCCCTGCTTGAAATTTCCTAAAGTAATTCATTCCCACATCTGATTTAAAGAACTGTTATACTTCACTAACCTTCTCCTCTTAGTGACTGACATTACGAGAAAAAAATTAGAGGCATCTTAAGCTAGAAGGGGCATTACAAATCATAGGGCCAAATTCTATGGCAAGAGCAACTGAAGGACCAGTGAACACACACTTAGTGCTCTAAGATCAAAAAGTTGTAGAAATACAGCAGAAAATACAGTTCTGCTCAGCAAGTTAGAAGCCATTCCATCAGGGCAGTGCATTTTAAAATTCACATCACAGGTAAACTCTCCCTTAGAGTAGGTTTTGGGAGAAACCCAAAGACCACTGTTTGTTTATTTTTAAACAAAACATAACAAGTCTCTGAATTAAAAAAGTTGTTGAAAATTTAATTTCTTGATCATCATATATGGCCCCAAAGTTACTGGGTACTAGTTGGCGTCAAACAATCAGATGGGAGGTATTTTCAGTAAACCAGCCACCAAGCTGGCTCTAACGGCAGTACTCACGGCCAGATGTAAGGGGCTTATTGTTGCTCTGTTATCTGAATCACTCAGCATGTCTGTCCCGGAGGTTTCCATTAACTGTAAAGAAAAGTATGTGAAATGCCAGAAATGGTACTTTTAGATATATTATAGCAGTTACTCCTGCCCCCCCCAAGTTTAAATCCATTTTAGAGTAAAAATTGATATTTAAATATGAATTTTAAAATCTCAGACCATTATATTATGAAAATTCCACTCAGCAAGCTTATACAACAGATTATCATGAAAGGGTAGTGAGGACCCCAGAGTAAGAGCTCTGAGGTAGGGCTATAAACTAGTTTGAGGGAAATGCTATTTACTCACCACCAAGTAAGAACCACCCGCCCCAGCCCCAACCCCTAAATACATGATTTCTGTCTCTGTCTTTGTTCTCAGGAATATGTACAACAGGCTTCTAGTGAGAGCAAATAAATTATAATACTCTGAATAGGGGGAAAACTGATTATTACTTACAACATCTAAAGGAGTTTCACTTGCAATCTGAAATAAAATTTAAAGTAAGAATATTTAGCTTAGAAAGTATTCATATATTTTAGAGCTAAATGCTACATGTCTCTATTTACACAAGTCTTTGTTAAATTCTATTCTGAACTTGGGCTCCCTTTGCCTCCAAAAATTAAGTCTTTTAAATAAACAAGTGTACAATATAATAGACCACGAATCTATATTCATGGGTCTAAGATTTTAGTGTATAAGACACCATAATAACCTAAGGAAATATTTGTTATTTCTGATAGCAGGGTTTTAAGTACTATATTAAATACGTCAACCTGCTTTTTCTATCTTTAATACCCACTCTCCCTTGAAGGGAAGCAAAGTTTAATATAACTTATAAGGTAAGTCTAAAGAAAGAAACTTTTAACTTGAAGCATCTGTTACACACTTGAGAATCTTTTCACTTATCTCTTGCTTTCTCTTTGGTTTGGCCAAGTGGGGTGAATGGCGTGTATATTCAAGAATGAGATCACAGTTGAAATAAAAAGTTCCTTTGCAGAAGTACTGTCTCCCCTCTATCAGGAGGGACTGTAAAAAGAATGGGCCTTTCAGAAATCTCTAAATATATGGAAAAAACCCTCCTCTCACAGGGACATTTCTCACACAAGACGTGGTTACAGTTCTTTAGAAATTTCTGGAAAACATTTATTTAAAGGAAAAGGAAAAGGAATGCTACATCAACATGGGGTAGTATAAGGGAAGGACATAAGTAGCCCTCTCTAGAGATCTAATTTTCTCCTTTCTCTTTTCTTTTTGAAAGGGAAAAGGGAATGAGAGATATCTTACTGAGGCAAGTATGAATGTAAGATATTGGCTCTAAAAATATTAAAAAGCAATAGAGTTTGTTTCTTGACTCATTTATTCTCATTTTCATTATGTTATTAGAATATAAAATCACATTAGTCTTTCCACAACAATTCACGAATCTTACCAGCTGAAGACATAGACGGTGACCATAAGCAGCTGAATAATGAACTGCATTGTATCCTTGCTTGTCACGGATCCCTGGATTTGCATCATTTCGTAATAAGTATTCCAGGCACCTATATATAGTAATAACATTCAAAATTCTAAATCCTGCATTTTAACCAATGATAAAGACAGCCTGAAACTAAAAACTGACAAGTTTTCTTACAATTTCTTGCAATTCTTCTTTTTCTTGATAATGTAAAAATTATAAATAAATCTACACTAGATAAATTTGTCATTTAAATGACATTAACTGTAACTATCATAAGAATACAAGCGAAACGTTCATTAAGAGAATATCCTTCATTCAAAGTGACGATCTCCAACGTCTGTCAACAAGCTCAGTATACCTGAGGGCTGGCTGTCTTTTACACAGTCACTATGTATGGCACCACCTATCCCACTCAAACAATATCTGACAGGATTAAATTTAGTGGTGGTGAGCATCCAATGTTGGCAATATTACGGCTGACGTATCTGGAACACATAGTGAGTGTAGTATCTCATTAGGAAGCTGAAGAAAGGATATAAAAAAAAAAATCTCAGGATAATCTCAAGGTCAGAATTCAATGATCTTGAATCAGAGGACTGAGAAGGGTGTAAACAGTGTAAAGTTGTATGTAGGTAACAAGAAAGATCCTCCCATGGTAGATTTACTTCATTCCTGTGCTATCAAAACATTAGAAAAATAATTTTTAAAGGTACTATACAGTTCATGATTTGTTATAATTTTCATACATTTTATTGTTAATGTAGCAAAAAAAGAGCACTGAATTAGAAATTAAAAGTCTGTCTGTAGAACTAGTCTGATACCAGTGATCTTGAGCATACAAATCATTTCGTCTTTATGGTAAAATGGCCTCTGTTTATTCATTTGATAGATGGGGTTCTATTTGTAATTTGTCTAATGTTGTAGTATGTCTAACTAAATATTAATTCCAACTGCTGGGGGGAAAATTTATAATTTTATAAATTTATAATACTCGTTAAAAATTCAAGTTTCCTTAAGGAGTGCACTTGTTGTGATGAGCACTGGGTGATGTATCGAATTGTTGAATCACTATATTGCATACTTGAAACTATTATCACACTGATGTTAACTATACTGGAATTTAAAAAAAGACTGTAAAAAAAAATTCAAGTTTCCAAAGCCCTACTGAAGTTATATAAAACAAACAAAAAAGAACTCTAAAGCAATGTAACGGCTCTTTCAGTAATTATAGCAAGGATAACTATATCATTTATATATCTATATGCTATCTATCTATCATCTACCTACCTATAAAGGCCATTCTTTTCAATGCCAACACCTTTCTTTCTTTTTTTTTTTTAAAGATTTTATTTGACAGAGAGAGAGCAAGTACACAAACAGGCAGAACGGCAGGCAGAGGGAGAGGGAGAAGCAGGCTTCCCGCCGAACAGGGAGCCCGACGCGGGGCTCGATCCCAGGACACTGGGATCATGACCCGAGCCGAAGGCAGACGCTCAACTGACTGAGCCACCCAGGCGCCCCCAACACTTATTTCTTTAATGCTGAATTGCTTAAAATCCTTTAGATCTCTTAGTAATTACTTGCAGAATCTATATTATAATATCCTCAAATGGTAGCAAATGTCCATTTAAGTGGGATTTTGATACTTACATAGAGCTAAAATTATTAGTCAAACATGGTGAACTGGGTCACTATGATTAAAAAAACCCAAATCTGACTCTAAAGTAACAAGACTGGTGTTTTTTGTTGTTCATAAACTAGCTCTGAGGGCCCTATAGAAAGTGTTCCAGACAGTGTATAAACTGTTTGTGTCCAGTTTTCTTTCCTAGGTGTCCAACTCAGAGGTCAGGGCTCACTGGAATTCATAAAAGACCTGCAGGGCTGGAGGACAGTCCCATTGCTTTATATGCACAAATATGTCACCCAAGGGCATATCTTTTTTATCTTTAATCAAGTTCTCTAGATAAGAGAGATAAAGCAGAAAGAGTTCTCCAACTGCCCTAAGACCTGAGTATAAGGCAGATTCTATCAGTGGAACAAACTATTTTAAGATAACTTGCTGATACATGAGTACTGAAAAAAGATATATTTAAGGAAAGCAAAGCAAGTAGGTAAGTTCATGTTTACTTTCTAAAGTAAGAGCACATCTCAATGCATTTATAATGACTAGTCCACATATACAGCATTAAATGGTTTCAAATAATTCAAGTGTTACACATGCAGTAGTTTTATCAAATCATATTATTTTTTTACATTCACATTATTCAGATAATTGGTCTCCTGTAACAAAACAAAGACTAAGAGTTACTTTGAAATGATAAAATTCCTTCTATTGGCCTGCCTTTCAGATTTTGCCAAGCAGTATCAACTTTCATAACTACTTTGTGAGATAAAGCATTATCTTCAACAAATGGAAAAAATTACTGACACTCAGGAAAACCAAAACACCTATTCAGAATCTTTTGTAAAAGGCAAAAGATTTATGCGATCTAAAGAGAAACTGGCTAGCATATAGTAAAGCAAGGACTAGACCTTAGGTCTTCTCTTTATCCAGTGTTCTTTCACGCTACCAAATACTTCAGCAAAGGGGTTAATGAGTTAGAGTGACACTTTAACCTGGGTGCTTATAAAATACTAAGCCACAAAATTACTTGATCTTGAATATCTGGACCTCACATCTAATTTGCAAATAAGGTGGAGGAGAGAGAATCTATTCTTTTTTTCTGATTATAAGTTAACACACACTGATTTTTATAAAAGCCAGAAAATCAAGGTATCAATATTCTCTTTAATCTCTCTCCTTTCTCCTAAAATAAGCTGTATGCAAAATCTGGAGGAATATTCATTGCTAAATAGCTAAGTCATAAACTATACTTACTGTTACATACTGTTTATGTGTTAGACAAATTAAGTATCATTCCAATTAACACAATTTAAGTCAGAGTGCATTTCAAACTATTTAAATTTCACCTACTCTTCTCCTACCACCCATGAGTCCCGTGCCCGGTCAGAATTCTGGGTAAGGACCACTCAGCCCAGGGCAGGGAATGTGGTATTGCTACTAGAGGCCCTCTTTCCTTTACTCTCTCCCATTACGGTGTATAATAGTGTCTGTTCTTACCCAAAAAAAAAAAAAAAAAAAAAATACAGCTAATCCTTATAGGTAAGGGAAGATTATAGGTAGTATTCCAAACAATTCAGATATCCTATACCTCATTTGGCTATATGAGTTAGGTCAGACTATTTTCCCCATTTCACAGACAAAAGGGGCACAGAGATGTAAAGTAACTTGCCCAAAGTCTCACAACAAGGGGCAGAGCCACTATCAAATCCAATGTTATCTTATATACAAATTCAAAATGAGTTATAAAAGGCTGCTGAATATTATAGTCATATACAAAAGTCAAATGTGTTTATATCACAACAAAAGGAAATTTAAAGATAGGTTTATTTTGGCAATAAAAATATTTAGTACTTAGGAATAAATCTAAGGATTATAAAACTTATAAACAAAAAACTGTATGGGGACTCCTGGGTGGCTCAGTTGGTTAAGCGTCTGCCTTTGGCTCAGGTCATGATCCCAGAGTCCTGGGACTGAGCCCCACGTCGGGCTCCTTGCTGAGCAGGGAGCCTGCTTCTCCCTCTGCCTGCCGCTCCCCCTGCTTGTGCTCATGCTTTCTCTCTGACAAATAAATAAGTAAAATCTTTAAAAAGAAATAAATAAAATACATCTTTAAAAAAACAAACAAAAAAACCCTGTATGATTCCATTTATATCAAGTTCAAAACAGACAAAAATATACGATGCTATTAGAAGTCAAAATATAATCCCATTTTTGTGAAAAATGCCAACTATCACCATAAAAGTGGATCTTGGTGAAATATATCTATATATACTCATAAACACATTTATATATACAATTATATGAACATAGAAAAGGCTATGGAAAAGCATATACCAAGTCTTTAACTTTGATTAGACTAATTGATTAGACTATGACTGACATGAAATGATCTGCATACACATACAGAAATAGTCATATTAATGGTGGTTATCTTAGGAGAATAGGCATGAGAAGGATTTCTTCTTTATGTATAATCAAAAAAAAAAAACCAAAACACCCAGTCTTCTCCTCTTATACACACACATGGGTATGGAGGAGATCCTTAACCATCTTGCTCAAAGCCAGCCCTATTTCTTTTGAACTGGCAAAGAAAATTTTGTTTATTAATATTTAACACATTAAACATGTTTCTTGTGACTATGTATTTGAGTCATGACTGTTTATGAAGAATGCAGGCACCAGGGTGCCTGAGTAGTGCAGTTAGTTAAGCATCCAACTCTTGGTTTTGGCTCAGGTCATGATCCATGGTCATGAGATGGAGCCCCACAGTGGGCTCCGTGCTCAGCACAGAGTCTGCTTAAGATTCTCTCTCCCTCTCCCTCTGCCCCTCCCGCTCGTGCTCTCTAAAATAAATAAATTCATTGAAAAAAAAAAAGAATGCAGGCACTAGAATAATGGGAGTCACTAGAAGAGTAAGTAGAATGAGTCAGGAAAGATTTCATGTATTTTTCCAACATTTACTCAAAGTGAAGACCGAGGGACGCAAGGCAGAAGAGAGCAGAAGAGAGAGTTATAATTACTTATGTCACTCTGGAATAGCAGAAAACCAATGTCAGAGTGTCAAAAATTCCAAAATATAAACAACTTTCCCTGGGGATGCTGACATGGGATTAGTAAATGATCATTAAAAAAACAAACCACAAATACACATTACTGAATAAGAGTAATTTGAAGTTATGGGGATTTTGTGTCTTTCTTTAGAAAGTATTTCACACTTGCTTTGCCAGAAGTATCATGCCAGATTCTTTTATTATCTAACTTTTATACCTGGGAATTAAATCAGTGTAACTTAGAAAAATAAATCAACATTTTTTTGTTTTTTTGGGGGGGGGGAGAGAAAGAGCGAAAGGAGAATCTTAAGTGGGCTCCATGCCCAGCATGAAGCCCCACACAGGGCTTGATCTCACAACCCTGAGATCATGACTAGAGCCGAAATCAAGAGTCAGACGCTTAACCAACTGAGCCACCCAGGTGCCCAAATGTTTTATCAATGCTATAATGCTACTACTTAAGCCTCCAAAACAATCATTTATTGAAAGGATGCCTCTGGTATCCTAAAATGGTTACTGTAACTTATAGCTTCCAGAAAGTTCTCAGGAACAAATCACTGAGTCAATAAATGATGGCATTAGACAGGACCTCTGGGATTCTGATACTTTAAAGAAACAGAGGCTCTAAGAAACAGTGCTAGAGGGGCACCTGGGTGGCTGGTCAGTTAGGCATCCGACTCCTGGTTTCGGCTCAGGTCATGATCTTATCATGAGATCCAGCCCTGTGTTGGACTCCGTGTTCAGCGGGGAGTCTGCCTGAAGATTCTCTCCATTTGCCCCTCCCCTCATTCTTTCTCTAAAGTAAATCTTAAAGAAAAAAAAAAGTGCTAGATTGTTTTATACACATAATCAGTTTTTCCCACAATTCTAAGTACATTTCTAATTTTACAGATAAAGGTTTTGCTTGGCAATTACCTGCTCAGGCTCAAAGGGGTATAATATAGAAACCCCAAGATTTAAACTGGGTCTTTTGGATCCCAAAGCTCATGTTCTTTTTAGTACATCAGGCTGCTTTGTGTAGATACTGAGAATTAAATGTTTAAGTAATAAATATCACTAGCCTATTACTCAAAACAGTTTATATTAGGTGAGAGAACTGATTTATATCACTTTAGTACTAATACACTTCTACAAAAAAAGTAGGTGGGTTTAAAACAAAACCACAAATCCCAAACAGTATGGGTTGAACATCATTATTCTCTTGATTTTTGCCTAAGAATTCAGGTTTAATGTAATTGTCTAAGGGCAGGAGGACCTTGGGTAATCTCTATGAGCATGTGTGTGTGTTTATGTGTGTGACCTCTTAGTGGAATTTATGTAGATCCCGTTGAGTGACACCTAATAACTAGTGTGTGGGAATAGTGGTAAAGGATTACTGGTGGTGATATGCTCATTTTAGGTATAACCTATTTTAAGAAAATCTATAAATCAAATCCTGAAGTTAACAAAATTTATACATCAGAGGATGATCTACTTACCCAAGTTTACCAACATTTTTTGTAAAATAAGATTTTATTTATTTGACACCCAGAGAGAGAGAGCGCACAAACAGGCGGAGAGGCAGGCAGAGGGAAAAGCAGGCTCTCTGCTGTGCAGGGAGCCCGCTGCGATGTGGGGCTTGATCCCAGACTCCTGGGATCATGACCTGAGCCGAAGGCAGATGCTTAATCAACTGAGCCACCCAAGAGCCCCACCAAAATATTTTCTTATTTACAAAGTCTTTACCACAGATTTTCCTTAAAGAGCTACTATCTATAAAAACATACTTCAAATAATTTAACTTCTCCCAAAATCTATCTATACCTAACTATTCTGGGTACATATGAAATTGTACAAAGTGGTCTATTCTAGTAAACAAAAAGTAGATTTTACTGGTGCTTTTGACATTAGAGTTTTAACTACAAATCCAACATAACAAAGTGCTACTGATAGAAATGGCTTTGATATTACTTACAGAATTTATAATTAACATTATATATATATATATATATATCAAGTTATGCTTTTTATTTTGAGGGTAAAAAGCAAATATTAAAAACCAAAGAAATAGTTCTGTTAATTAAAACTTCCTTGAAGTATATTTTATAAAATCCTCCCCTACAAACCACTCTTTGTTTTTCCCTAAGGGTCTTTTTGCTCTTAACTGACCCAGACACATGGTGAATACCACAGACTGAAGATCTGTCTCCAATCAATTTATTTATATATATATTAAGGTACTATAAATGGTTCTGATCAACTTTGGGTGAATATTAATTATAAAAATAATTTACACATCTCTTATTCTTTTGTTATTCAGGCATTCTTAGCCAATATTATCCCATTATCTCATTTACTTATTTAAGCAATATTTAGAACCAACAAGTGCCAGATTCTGCCAGTTTGATTATTCCCTTTTTGGGCACCAATTTATAAGGATCTCTTACAAATATAAACTCTCTACCTCTGACGGATACTGGTGTTCCAATCTCTGCCCCATCTCCATTGGCATCGTCCACATTTCTTCTCTGTCCCTTTCCCTATGATAAACTCAAGATTGCTGCCTCTGAGAAGTCAGAGGGAAAAAACATGAAAGTGATATTAAGATGTGCTTTTGGCAGGGAGGACAAGAAGAAGTCTTTATCTTTCTTCTACCAGATCAGTCAATAAGGCAGGTTGCTGAGCAGAAATAGGTAGTAAGCTATGATTTAGGAATAATTATGAAACCAATTTATTTCCCACACTAGAGACTCAAGAAAAGAGCACAAAAAGTATAAAAAGAAAATATAAATTTGCAATAAAAACATGGAAAATGTTGGTTTATAGAAATAGTCCTTCATTCTCACCACATGATACTTACTTGCCATCTGTGTCTGATGTGGCTGCATAGTGCAGGGGTGTGCATCCTCTTTCATCAAGGTCATTCACACTTGCTCCTGATCCCACAAGAGCAAACAGGCACTGGTAATTGCAGTTGGCAGCAGCATAGTGCAGCGGAGATCTTTGGTGCCCAAGTTAATATAAGAAAAATAAAAGCCAGAGACATATACCAGTAAACAAGAGCACAGCTGACTCTTACTCGACCCAATTACAAATACTGTATTTACAGTGAGCCTGAGATTGATTTCTACCATATACTAAGTCTTCTGGAGGGCTGGACAGAAAGCTAGGAGGAGAAAGTAAGGTGGCAAAGAACTTCTAAGAATAGGAAATTATGATAGAAACAGTTAAATTATTTCACGGTCCCCCCACAGTGAGAATTCTAGTCTTCTAAGTGTATTATAGACACCTTCATATTCTGCTCAGAAACTTTGTAAGACTTCCATTTTAACAAAGCTTCCCTTATACTAATAAAAATGTTTCATAGTACAGAGGTAGAAGCTTCTATTCATGTCTCAGGAGAGGAATAAAGGTTAAGAGAAATATAGAAGCATTAAATAGAATGCCCTATTCTACCAACCATACAGTAAAGCTGCATAGTGATATCGGGTTTCTCAAGCAAAAATTGCAGAGTTTTGAAGATTCGTCACTATTCAGAAGAGTTAGAGTACGGTTTTTAATTTCTAAAGACTGAATATTTACAGCCGTTTTCTTCCCAGTTATTGAATTGCAACAGAATGTTACTAAAATTAGGAGTCCCTGTCTTTGAATTGCAACTCTGTAACGATTCCATGACTTTTCATTAAAAAAAAAAAAAAGAGGAGAAGAAAACAGAAAAGTGAAAGTAAATTCAGTTTAGAGTCTTCATGGTATAACTTTTTCTAAAACATTTACCTAGTGAAACGATAGTAAAACATTATTTTACTTTATTGGATAACAGTATAGTATAGTAACAGCATTTTAAGAAATACAATTAACCCTGAATTACTTTCAAGCTTCTAAACTCAGAATATGCTTCAGAAGCCTTCTCTGCTATTTGTAGTAAAAAATGCTTCAAGTGCTACAAATTAACTAATATAAGATGGATTAAAGTACAATTATAAGTCAATTAACTATAAAAATATTGCATTGCAAAGCCAAACAAAGTGATTTTTTATTTTGCAGGTCATTAGTTCCTTTTATTAGTGGGCTTATGAGAGCAGTCTATTCCTCAAAGTAATTATGGGGTCAAATAGTTTTTTTTTCTTATATGCATTTCTGATTCCCTACCATACATAATTCTGTTTACTTCTGCACTGACCCCATCACATGCACTGAACATACATCCACACATTTCCTTCTGACACACACACCCTTTCTTGTCATACTCTTTGATGTAATTCTCAAACTCGTGACCCACAATTTTGCTCACATTGCCACCTCTATTTTATTTTTTATTTTTATTTTTTTTTATTATTATGTTATGTTAATCCCCATACATTACATCATTAGTTTTTGATGTAGTGTTCCATGATTCATTGTTTGCGTATAACACCCAGTGCTCCATGCAAAACGTGTCCTCTTTAATACCCATTACCAGGCTAGCCCATCCCCCTCTAGAACCCTCAGTTTGTTTCTCAGAGTCCATAGTAAACCAATTCAAACTGCCTTCAATTCTTTCCTGTATGGTTTTAGCACATGCTGGGTCAATTCCTACTCTAAGTAACTTAGTAGATACTGGTGGCTTTAAGTACTGCTACCATAAATGCTAGTCATAGTGAGAATGAGGATTGGCTAAAAGACTACAAAGGGATTCTGTCACTTCACAGGTATTTTCCTACCAGTCATACCAAGGGGTGTATATGGATGTGTTGTTATGTGTTTATGTATATGTGGGGAGTTATAGGAGGGAAGAACAAAAATTTCATATATATTTGTTACCTATTTCCTTCCTATTTCTAGTGCTCTGTAACCAAATATGGGCAGTAGAATCTCTGACAATGAAATGACTTGGGGGCAAGGAGACCTGTACTGCTGAGTTCTAGGTCTTGTGACTTTCTTCTTGAAGGAACAGAGGCACCATGGGGTTTTACATTTCCATTGTATAATTATGGGAGGAGGAAGAACGATATCAAGAGACACAGAGGTGCTTTTAAGGTAAAGCTGTGGCTGGCAGCCTGGGGCTGTGGCAGGGGCCCAAGTGGAAGAAAACTGTGGGTAAAAATGAATATTTAGAAGTTACTGACTTATTTAGGCCTCTCAGTGAATCATGATCACAATGCAAAAGATGCTGAACTGTTAATTCTCAGAAGCCACTTAGAACGTCATGCAAGTCATTAAGTAAATAACATTAATTAGGTTCTATAGAGGAATGGCATCACAGCCTACCTCCCAAATTTGTCCTTTTTGTTGAAGTCTGCACCGGTATTCAGCAGAAGGTTTAGGCACTCCAAATTCCTTTTCAGGGAAAACAGACTTAATTGTCAATAATTTCTTAACAAAATTGGTAGTTTAAATAAGTATCAAAGCATGTTTTCAAATGAAGACAAAGTGAATAAAATGACATGATTTATGTTTTATAAAAAATAAAACATTAAAATTCATCATATATTTTAAGAATTTATATATATATACATTTTGGCATGTTGCTAGGAAATAACAAATGAGTCATGTCACTATTTAAAAGAAAGTTCACATTTGTAAAAGAGTTCCTGAGAGTTGGTTAAGTGGCTGCCTTAGGCTCAGGTCATGATCTCATGGGTCCTGGGATCCAGCCCGAGTCCTTGGGCTCCCTGCTCAGTGGGGAGTCTGCTTCTCCCTCCCCCTTCCTGCCCCTGGCCCCCTTAATGCTCACGCTCTATCTCAAATAAATAAAATCTTAAAAAAAAAAAAGACTTCCTAAGAGTTTTTAGGAACCTTTAAAACAAACCTCAAACAACAGGCTTTTAATAGAATGGTTTAAATTTAAATGGTTTTTAATACTAAATTAAAAGAAAATGGGTTAAAAAAAAATCAAACCTGAAAAATGTTCCAATTTGCTTTCCCTTATCTTTTATACTATAATTGCTTAGATGTATCCTTAGTTAAAATTATAGGAGAGTACGGTATATGCATGGGTCTTTCTGTAGTTTAATTTTAAAAAACCTGAACATTATTACTATGTTACACTAGAAACTGTGACTGCCACGTGATCAAATAGTTGTGCTATCTTTTGTCCCTCCCTCTGGAGGCCAGTAATATGGAAGCTAGGTTTTAACTGGAAGGTTCTTTGGTGACCTTGGAAGAACAAGAGGACCCATTCATATGTTCACAATCCATCTTTGCATCTGAGACTGGCCTAGTTGGAGTCTTGATTCAGTATACTTGTCCTCTGAAACCACTGGGAATTTTTAAAGAATGATTATTAGTAATAAAATTCTTGCAAATGAGGTTTTTGATAAGTCACCATGGGAGAAGAAAGTCCAGAGTAGTAGAAATTGCTTTTTCTAAATCCTCTTCCACCTAAGTCATAAATTATGAGTGGGAGGAGAGATGGAACAAAACTGTAAAAGGAAGCATTGTGGGGGAGGTGGAGCAAAACTGTAAAAGGAAGTATTGCTTTTTATGAGAGAAAATTATTTCTGGGTAAATGAAAGGAATATATGTCCTCAAATGAGAGCAACAAAACATTAGGGATGTTCTGAGTAATACTAATGTTCTTTGAGAAGGTGTTTAGGGTTTTTTCATCATAATTTTAGGGGGAAAAAATGTCGATGGCTTGTTTATGTCTTGTGTCTACTCAGAACCAATATCTAGGAAAAAGAAAATTTTTGAGATTGAAAAATTTTGGACAGTTTTAAATACTGCTGCTAGGGTAGGCTCTTGGTTTGAATAAACAACAACCTTCAGTTAAAACTTGTGGTCCCTGAAGCATGCTGCTAATCTAATGTTTAGCACATGCTGGGTCAATTCCCAGCCACTTAGAACGTCATGCAAGTCATTAAGTAAATAACATTAATTAGGTTCTATAGAGGAATGGCAATTTCTACTACTCTGGACTTTCTTCTCCCAAACCACTCCTATTACGGTTTGTTTTCTATTTTGAGGCAGCCCAGAACTAATAAAGAGAAACTAAGATAAAAGAAAAACTGACATGACCAGCTACCTTCTTCTTAAAAAAGTAAAAATTTTGTTAACATACCCTCCAGCTGCAGCTGCGTGTAGACAGGTCCTGCCAAAATCATCTGGGGTATCTATATCAAATCCTGCAAGAATGAACACATCTTATATAGTATCATAGGTAAGTTACTTCACTTTAAAAGTACTATGTCAAGAAATGTCAAGTATCACATGCCCCCCAATTTCAAACAAAACTGAATTACAAACAGGCACAAAATTATTCAAAGTAGATAATAAGGAAGGAAATCCTGGAAAAATAAAATCTTTCCCAGATTTGAAGATAAAACTGCTTAAAAAAAAAAAAAAGATTTTATTTATTTATTTGACAGAGAGAGAGATACAGCGAGAGAGGGAACACAAGCAGGGGGAGTAGGAGGAGAAGCAGGCTTCCCACTGAGCAGGAAGCCCAATGTGGGGCTCCATCCCAGGACCCTGGGATCATGACCTGAGCTGAAGGCAGATGCTTAATGACTGAGCCACCCAGGCACCCCCAAACTGCATCTTAAAATTAAAAAAGACCCAACATCTTCTAAGAGGACTTAATAAATGATTCACACTTGGGACATATCTACAAGTGATTTTGGAAAAGCAGGATAAAGAGATTGTATTAAAATGTGGGAGGCTTTGGGGAAACAAAAAAAGAAGACTCAGTCTACAATGGTTCCACTTACCAGAAGAAAGAAGTTTCCTGCAGCAATCTGAAAAACCACTTAAGGCTGCCAAATGGAGGGGGAACATTCCATGTATGCCACGCCTGAAGTATAAGCAGGACAGTAACTGCATTACAATCAAGAATAATACAATCATTTGAATAAATTACAAAGAAACTAGCTGAAGCGGAAAGATAATTAGATGAGTCAAAACCTTTAACATTTTGGAGAGCAATTTGGCAAAAGGCTGAAGGTGACCATAGCTTATATATTATCCAGCAGTTTTCCTCCAGGAGAATTTTTCAACCTTGGCACTATTGTCATGATGGACTTTATTGGGGGCGGGGCGGCTTCCCTGTGCATGCAGGATGTTCAGCAGTGCCCCTGGGCTCTATCCAAACCAGATGCCAGTAACACCCTCCTCCCAAAGCATGACAACCAAAAATGTCTCTGGACATTTGCCTAGGGTGTGAAATCCATTCCCCCCCTACGCCTCGCCAGTGAGAATCATTACCACAACACAAAATGTTCAAGAATGCTCACTGCAGGAAATTTTGTAAAATTGGAAGCAACTTATGTTTGCAAATAAGTAGAATGAATAAACTATGAAATCTTTATACAAAATTAAATTTTATAAAATGAACTACAGGTATTTGTAGAGATGTGAAAAAAAAGTCCAAATCTTTATCTACATGGCTAAATCAAAGAGGTTGCAAAAAAGTATACAGTAGCATCACATTTACAGAAAGTTTAAAAAGTTTAAAACAAGTTAATGAATATATATAATAAATGTAATAAAATGTAATAAAAATAGAAAGACACACATAGGAATGATAACCATCAAATTAAGTAGGGTGTTTACTTCTGCAGAGCACGCAAGAGAATCCATCTTTCAAACAAAATCTTTACAGAGAAACTTTAATACATAAAATAGACAAAGTGAGCTGTTTTGACCAAAGCAGGAGGCAAAAAATCTACAGATAGTATTATTTGAATGAAAAAGAAAAGCATTCAGTATATAAACATTTTTGGGTCTTTTATTTACTTTTAATAAATAGATCACAACAATGAAAAGCTCTGACTAAAACTGTGTATTATTCATAATTTAGAATTCACTGGGGTTAAAAAAATATAAGAATATACTACGCTGGCTTACCAAATGAAATCACATTAAGTATCTATTCTAGCACATCATCCACACAAGTAGGAAAAAGCTCAAGCAATTAGTACCATATTGGGCACAAAATCCATACTTCTACTTGAAATCTCTAGAAAACTGCAATTCACTTCCATCTGTGTTTCCCTGTCAGCACAGCTCTCAACACTGTGGTAAGTACTTACTTTGCAGTGTCAGCACCACTTGTAATAAGAGTGTTGATTAGCAGCTCATGGCCGTACCTTGCTGCTATGTGCAAAGGGGTGTTTCCATTCTTATCCTCACAGTCAATTACAGCTCCTGCAGTAAATAATGTACTATCAGATACTGGACCATATTAAGATCAAGTCAAATTTATTACATCAAAAATACCATAAAACACTATTCAAACATAAACTAATGGATATAGGGGTTTAACTAGGTTTCACTCACAGGACATTTAATGGGCCAGGCACTGAGGTTACAGATTTTACACTTAAAAACAATTTTGTGAACTAAGCATAAGCTTTTAACAGATTTTAAAATGATGAAAGGGTTCTGGGGTCTAATAAGTTTGGAAACCACTATATTAAAACAAAATTAAACATATTTCTTTAGAGCAAGATTTCAGAGCTTTAATGCACACACACCATGTGTCATCAAGATTGTATGCAATGCTTCAGGAATTATTTGATCACGAAACTACTACTTTTTCCTTGCAAAACCATAACAACTATTATCTTGAGGACTACTAACAAACAGTTCCTTGGAATATGGCTTGGGAAACACTAAAGTAATGTACCTAAGAGTATTTAAAGGTTTAGCTTGCCTAGTACTAATTCAAATGCAAAAGAATACAGGTTCCGAAAATAAATGAAAGTCCTAAAAATAGTTCAAAATATCCAAAACGGGAAAAAAGATAAATGCAACAGAGTTTTGTTAATGTATAATACAAATACAAACTGTTGTGGAAAGGCAAAGTTTTCTATTTAGCAATGCTTATAGAAAGCCCACACCAACTGCTAGAGAAATTGTACTTATAATTCAGGTGAAATAAAACAAAAATAAATGAAAAACAAATTGTAAAAGATACATATACATGGCATTTTGTACTCTTTATTATTTGATTTTCGTAAGATCTGAAATCAAATATTAAAAATATATAGACAGCTACAACAATTCCTCAATACCATTCATTTTGTGGATGTTTTTATTACATTTAAGAAAAAAAACAAACAGAAATACTTTTTACCACTCTGGATAATGGTTTGTGATCTGGAGAATCTACCGTGGAGGGCAGTCATGTGCAGTGGGGTTTTCCCATCCTTGCTCTGAAATAATCAAATAAGAGAGATTTAAAATTATTGTTATATCTGTCATATGTAACCCTTAGTTTTATTTTGAGTATCTTCTTGCATCTTCATCTTGTAAAACTATTATTCAAGCATTAAGTTTAACTCAATCCTATGTAGGTAAAACAGCTGTTCAAAATTAGGAACTTTTTCTTAAAGTACGGATATTATAAAGCACAAATATACAACAACAACAAAAAAAACCCTTAATGCCTATAGTTTACAAAAAGCTCTGCAAGGTAGGTATACAGTGTAATCTTAGAATCATTCCTATTACAAAGGTGGGAAAACTGAAGCACAAGGATATTAATGATTCAACCAAGGTCACATAGTCAGTAGTGGTACAACTGGGATGTGTTTCCCACCTTTCAAAAATTTCACACTGCTACAATTCTTTCATTCTAAGAAATGCTGAATCCTTCATCAACCAAGGAAAAGTGAATGTTAGCATTAACTTCAATCACTATAATTCACTTTAAAAACTTCATATTTTGTTTATAATTATTTGTAATAAATATTGTTAGCTTTTTCCTCAAATTACTTAAAATAAATAATCATACTAACTGGGCATGTGTGTATTTAATGTACAAACTCCGAAATTCTAAAGGACTTTGTCAAAACATACAATGTGACCATTATAAAGGAAAGAGTCTATTTTGCAATTCCTAATCCCTCAGCAATATTCAGAATATCTTCTGTGTACATATACTTAAAAATGAAATGTGACAAGTGTCCTAAGTTTATACTAAAACTCTATAATGCAGATCTCCTTAAGAAATTCTCATGTCGGGGCGCCTGGGTGGCTCAGTCATTAAGCTTCTGCTTTAGGCTCAGGTTATGATCCCAGGGTCCTGGGATCGAGCCCCACATCGGGCTCCTTGCTCCGCGGGAAGCCTGCTTCTCCCTCTCCCACTCCCCCTGCTTATGTTCCTTCTCTCGCTCTGTCTCTGTCAAATAAATAAATCTTTAAAAAAAAAAAGAAATTCTCATGTCATTGTAATAGTGGAGTGTTAGACGAACTTCGTAATTACCTAGCAATGTATTTGATTCCATAATTTTATATAAATTTTTTTTAAGCAAACAAACTATCCAATTGGCAATTTATCTCAGAATTTTTAAACCTTTAGAAGCAGTGTGTACACAGGAGGGAAAACAAACCAAAGCAAACCAAAACAAACAAACCCAAGCGAACAAACAAGGTAGGCTCTGGAATCAGGATGAGCTGAGCTGAATCCTGGTTCTGCCAGTTACCACAGAAAGAATTAGGAGAAGCTGTCTATCTTCCTGAGCCTTCACTCAATGGATATGATATTACCTGTACCTCACAGTCCTGCTGTACAGAATAAATATACTAACCTTTGTAAAACACCCATATGATATATCAGTGTCTGTTATAGTCTATTATAGTCTATTACTGTATTTGGTGTTTTTATCTATGTAGCAGTTATTTTTTCAACCAGAAAAAAAAAGCACAAAACCATTTTAATAAAGGGATTCCAGTTTGTAATGTTTTTTCAAAATGTTCCCTATCTAACATATCTTGATTCTTCAATGTTAATCTTTTACCTTACAGACAAGAAAAAAGTAAAAATAAAAACTAAACTGTAATATAAATTTGAGTTCATAAAATGATGAAATGTGAAATATAATTATAGTTAACATTTATATACATAGTAAGCACTATGTTCCAAGCAGTTTTAAAACATTTCATATATATTTAGTCATTTGCTTTTCCAAAACCCTATGACATATATACTATTGACCCTATCGTATAGGCCAAGGGGTTAAGAAATGTAACCAGGTCTCATAGCTAGTAAGTGGAGTCCTACAGGTGGCACTGGATTGACATTTTTACTTTCTACATACTTACTGATCATAAAAAGTATTCCAAATATACTAAAAGAAACAAACAAACAAAACACCCCCAAAAGATTCAGATTACCAACTGAAAAGTCCACGTTAAGACATGTTAGAAGTGGGAAGAGCCCATTTATTTCTCTCTGCAGTGGGGAGACAATGGGTAGATTTTTTTTTAAGTCACCTTAATTAATTTTAGATCAAATTAGGAGTTTCAAACAAAAATTAAGATCCACCAGAATTCTAAGAGATGTGTTCACAGGTGACCATAAATAACAACAACAAGTAAGCATTACTTTTTATGTTTAAATTTTAAATCAAATTATTTGGGGTATTTTATCTGACCAAAATTTATGAACAATAAGGTGAAGTGGGAAAAGATGTGCATTTAAGTGATACAATCAATGCAGTAGGGCTCATGTTAATAAGCAAGGTTATAAAAACCAGACCTATATTGCTTTTTAAACTTCATTCACTTTATCTCTATGTAGTACTTTGTAAGACAGCCAATTTAAAAACATATAAATAAATGAGTAATTTCAAGCCTAAATTCACATTCCAATTTCTAGTCATCCACAACTTGATCAGGGACAGAAACAAAATGGAAAAATAATGTAGAAGAAAAAGATGAAGCAGGGAGAAAGAGATGACTTGATAAGGAGAACATGAGGGTTACAAGTATAATTTTTTTATAAGGCAAGTGTCAAAGCCTTATTAGCTCCTTAATCAAGCAACAATTTGATAGGCACTGATTTGATAAATATAGGATACACAGGTGTCAGGAATGAGGATTCTTGAGTGAATATATGTTCTTACTCGTTAAAAACACAAAGTTATTAATAATTTTTATATAATTTCAGAGCTGGAAGGTACCTTAGAAGTCATTAACATCATGGGAACTGTGTTCCAAAGGAACTTGGCTATAAGATAATTGGACAACTGCATATAAATGGAATGTCACATATCCCCAGACAAGATTAAGGCAACTTTTTAGGAAATCTATTTCCAAACCAACATCACTGGCTCGTTCCCTTCAAATCTGCTTAGCCACTGCAGTCAGCTATGTAGGCGCTCACATATGAATCAAACGATCTCTCATCAAATTATATTAAATATTCATGTCTAAATGGCACTGTATAAAATAAATAAAAAGCCTAATTTTTACCCCTTAAAGACAGCACTATAGAAACTAAAACATGTGTCATAGCTAATGTTATAGGTAAGCCATGATACTTAATATTTAACACACAACGATTTAACTACAGTCACTTGATCATAAACAGTTCTCATAGAGACTAAAAAAAATTTGGTTATGATCTTTTGAGAAATGTTAAGATCTAATCTTCATTAAAAAATATCATTAGGCCTTTGAGGAAACAAGTAACAAATTTCTTTTCTTCACAGGAGTTTAGATATTGTTCTACTCCCCGATTATCCAAACAGCAGGAATTCTTCAAATCAAACTGAGGAGTTCAAATTTATTATCAATAAATTTTTAGTAATTATTTAAACTATTAAAAAAACCTTCAGTAAGTGATTTGACTGAGAACTGGCAGCTTTGAATGTATATTCTTAGAAAAGGCATTTTAAACGTAATCATATAATAGGAGTTCTTTATGATACTTCATGCCCTTTCCTTCCTTGAGTATGATAACTATAAATTCTTCCTGTAGCTGAGAGAGGGCAATTTAGAGCAATGACTAATTATAGATGGACTTGCTGCTACTACAGCTATCAGGGTCAGCAGCAACACTAAAAGTCTCTTTAAAGTTAAGAAATACAAGAAAATGGACTCCCTTTCTTTACCAATCTGAAGACTGGCTCATGATACCCACAAAAGAAGCTGAAAGCTTAAGTAATTAAAGCTCTGAAAAACATATTTTAAGGTTAAATGTTTTTACTAAACAGTTCAATTTTATTTGTGGTTTTCTTTTCTTTATAACGCAAGATATAGACTGGCAAATACTCAAAGAATGAATTGATGAATTAATACAGAAACAATCAGTGAAAGCATTTTAAAAAAATCAAAATGATGATTACACATTATAAAGTAGTGTTGTTCAAAAATGTGGCTGCATGTGCTTTTTCACAGAATTATATAGTGAAAGAACATTTATTTTGGTTCCAGAATTTTCACGTATTTCTAAAATTCAAATGCTCATTCCTGAATGTGAATGTAACCAAAAAACAACAAAAACTATTCTTTATATGTAACACACTGATAGTGGTCTTTCAATTTTTATAAAATTGAAAAAAACTTCAAAACAGAAAAGTTAAAAGGATTACCATGAACACCCATATATATACCACCTGGATTCTATCACTAACATTTTTACTATACGCATATCATCATATATCAATCTCTCCATCCAGCCATCCACCCAATTATTTGATGTTTTTCAAAAGTTGAAGATACGACTACATATTATCTCTAAACACTTTGGTATGTTTATCATAAACGAGCGTTCAACATCACTTTTGTTTGTTACCTCCTAAGGGAAAATATACATGCAATGAAGTGTACAAATCTTAAATGTACCACTTCATGAGTTTTGACAAATGCTTATTTATATAACACAAAGCCTGTCAAAATATAGAATATTACCATCACCCCAGCAAGTTCTGCTACATCCCTTTTTCATCAATCCCTCCTCACAGAGGCAACTGTTTTTTTTTTTTTCCAACTACAGAATCTGGAACCCCATATAAATGGAATTTCATCTGTTCTAGAACCATCTATAAATGGGAATAATATGTATATTCTTTTGTAAGACTTTTTAAAGATTCACCTGTGTTCTTGTGTCTATCCGTAATTTGTTCCTTTTTATTGCTGAATGGTATTTGTTACTGATACTGTTTTAAACAGCAAACTCCTAAATAGTACAGTATGGATTCTGATTTTATTTCATACCTTCATATTGACATCGGCCCCATTGCCTACTAGAAGCTCTAAACACAATGCTCCATGTGTTGATGCAGCAGCAAAGTGCAAAGGAGTAAATCCTTTTTCATTCTTTTGATTTACATTAGCACCACAGTCTATAAGTTCATTCACTACAACATCTTGTCCATTATAGCAGGCTACATGAAGAGGTGTATTTCCATAGGCATTTGGTTCATTCATCTATTGGAAGAAAAAAAAATCTCAATGTTAAAGTAGTCTTGTGCTACTTGCTACAAGAATGAGAGCTAGTTTAGTGATGTTGTGGTTGCAATCAAGTTAATAAAGTGAGAAACAGGGCTAAATACATAGATAAGGCTTATAATGCTAAAGTTCTTTTAAAATAATGAACATTAACAACAGCATTTTGGTGTCAAATAGATTTTGTACATTCAGGGAATATAATTTACACATGCAATGTCTACTTCATGACAAAACTGAATGATTCCAAGAGAGAAATTTTAAGAAAATGAAAACAAAATAATGTATTTTTAAAGGTCTTCAAAGTAAGGTACAGTTAGAAGAATTAACTCTAAGAATCATGACAAATGAACACAAACTGAAAATTCTGAGATATATTGAATAACATGCTTATTTTCAGCCTTTACATTTGCAGTGACAAAAGATTAAAGTTGGTAATGAAGTAAAAGTTAGGATTTAAAAAAAATGAGTGGCATCTTTTTCTATTTCATTTCTGCACAAAGTTGGACTCTAGATATTTTCCAGCCTTACATGTTAACATTTTACCAGAATGAATGTGCTCTTCATACTGAGAAATAATTCTTGAGCAAGATTCTCTTTTCGTTCTGTTTCTAATAAATAAAATGGGTGAATAAAGTTTACATGACTTTTACATAAAGAATGTGACCTTTGCCCAAAGAGATGTCTAGCCCTTGCCCTTGTCTTCTGGGAGGTAATCTATGGCATACTTGATAGGAGTGTCCTCATTTAGGGTGGGAGCTGGCTACAATGGATCTTAGAGTAGGACTGGACGTAGCCAATGGTCTAGGGGTAGGATGTGCCAATGCCACATAAACCAACTATGTGATTTAGGGTGCGGGCTCTGGAGCCCTCAGTTATCAGTGGACTTGGAGACTGAAATCAACCATGTGGGCAAGTGATCGATTAATCAATCACACCTATGGGGTGCCTGGGTGGTTCAGGTAGTTAAGCATCTGCCTTCGGCTCCGGTCATGATCCTAGGCTCCTGGGATAGAGCCCGGCATCGGGCTCCCTGCTCAGTGAGGAGTGTGCTTCTCCCTCTCCCTCTGCTCCTGTGCTCTCTCTCTTGTTCACTCTCTTTCTCAAATAAATAAAATCTTAAAAAATAAATAAAAATTAAAAAAATAAATTAAAAAATCAATCACACCTATGTAAAGGAGCCCCAATAAAAACTCTGAAAACAAAGCTCACATGAGCTTTCCTGTTTGGCAATACTATGTGCATACTGTCACACGCTGATGCTAGGAGAGTAAGGAGTCCCAACTCCATGGGGAGAGAACAATGAATGCTTTCTGTTTAGAATACTCCTGGACTTTGCCCTATGTGTCTCTTCCTTTGGCTGATCTTAATTGTATCTTTTTTGTATAATATACCATGAGTATAATAGTTGTGAGTTTGTTTTTGTTTTTGTTTTAAGTAGGCTCCATGACCAGCATGGGGCCAATGTGGGGCTTGAACTCACAACCCTGAGATCAAGACCTGAGCCCAAATCAAGAGTCAGATACTTAACTGACTGAACCACCTAGCGCCCCGTCAGTGAATTTTTTGAATCCTTCTAGTGACTTATCAAACCCGAAGGTGGTTTTGGGGAATGCCCCAAACTTGTAGTTGATCAGAAATCAGGGCAGCCTTGTTTGGAGACTGTCCCCTCTAACTCTGAAGTTGGCCTCAACTTATCACAACTGTATTTTAACATTTTCTTTTCTGAAATCCCTGGCAACAGAAATTGGATAAAGTGAAAAGATAACACTTAACTTTAGTCAAAGTACCTACACTTCACCACCAAAAGTTAGGAGACATGGAATAGCTTCTCCCTCAGAGTCTCCAGAACTTTGAGAGATTAAATTTGTTTTAAGTCACTCACTTTATGGTAATTTCTTATGGAAGCCCTGGGAAACTAATAAATCATGCAACTGGAGGCCACATGTCAGTAAACGGCTCTGAGTCTGACCATTTATTCCAAAGAACTCTCTGTCACCACAGTTTACAAATGTTACTTTACTGTCAATAACACAAATTAAAAAAACTCACCAGAATGGATGTGAAACAGTAGTCAGAAACAAGATGCCTCATTTATCTAGATCAGTTGTACGGTAAGGCATTATGCTACTCTGGTGAAACAGAGCTAGCGGAACTGCTGAGAAATAAAACTTCTATTTGCACTCTACAAGACCCTCCCTAACAACATGTTTGGATTTTTGTAACATCTCACAATCCCGACATTTTCAGTAACTACTTGTTTGCTTTAGGCAAAGTGCTTCATATAATCCTTAAATTAAGAGTCTATTCAGCTCTACAATTCTGCCTCGCATTCTTTATCCAACCAGATTACTACTTACCTTTTTGTTTGTTTTTGCAGCTGATCTAAAGCCCTCCCTCTAGCAGAGCCTAACCCTCTCTCCTTGTAACTTGCTCTTTTTAATCTGTTTTTGAAGAACCAGACAAGTCTGTCAGAACTGTACCTAAAATAAGAGTAAATATATGAAGAGGGGCATAAAAGCACAAGTGCTTAAAGGATGGCCTGTGAAAGTAAGGTATTCTTAGCTATCTCAATTCAGGAATTAAATATAAAGTAGCAACCCTCCTAACCAAACAAATTTATACAGTAAGAACACTTACAGTTGATGGGCAAGAAACCTCTGGTTTTCCTGCCTAGCTCTTGCCAATATCCTGTAATGTGAACTGTTATAGTAATTTAAAGGGAGTATTAGACTGAGCAAATAAGACTAACAGTAACCTAGTCACTTAGGAAAAATAACCCAAGTGTATCTGATCAGCTAAAATGGAGCTACAGGGCTTGGACAGTGATGAAGAAGAAAAACCTGTGTCATTCATTCACCTTTGAAATATCCTTTACCTCTTAATATACTTTGACTAATTACATGATCATATTAGTGCACTATATATTATGTAAAGGACTACAAATATCCAATTAAAAGATAAAAATATTATTATATAAAATCATCTTTAAGGGGCGCCTGGGTGGCTCAGTCGTTAAGTGTCTGCCTTCGGCTCAGGTCATGATCCCAGGGTCCTGGGATCGAGCCCCGCGTCGGGCTCCCTGCCCAGTGGGAGTCCTGCTTCTCCCTCTCCCACTCCCCCTGTTTGTGTTCCTGCTCTCGCTGTCTGTCTCTTGCTGTCAAATAAATAAATAAATAAATCTTTAAAAAAATAAAATTATCTTTAAAATTAGAATAACTTCTGCCAGCAATGAAATCACAAACATATAAAAGCTTGCCTCCTTCATTTATATTGCTCAATCTATATACCTACATCAACTCCAAGATCCAGAAGGTACTTGACTACGCTGATCATTCCACTAGAGGCTGCTGCATGAAGAGGTGTATAAGACTTCTTATCCTTGCATGTCACTTCAGCTCCATGTGCCACAAGTAATTTCACTACTTCAATGTGACCTGAAAATGTTTATGAGGGGAAAAAAACCAGATGAGTATAGGAAAATATGAAATATAATCCTGGATATCTTTAAAAAAAGGTAAAAATGCAAATTACCTAAATAATGCATAAGTCACCAATGAATCAAGTTATAACCAGAGAAAGGACAGAAGAAGAAAAAAAGAATTCAGGTAATTTTAATAAATGTTGATAGAGGTAACTAACTGAAAACCATATATTTGATTATTTTATACAGTGACAACCTTTTGCCTAGATAACGCTCCTTTTGTCTAGATCTTGTTGTTTTTAAGATTGTTTTAATACATTCTCAAGTTCTGAAATTGGCGTTTTATGTCTAATGTAACACATTAGTTTATGTTTCTCTGCCTAGAACGTGGTTAAAAACTTCTTTTCCCCTATTATTTCTACCAGATGTCCTTAACCAACTTTGTTTGCTATTCACCTTTGTATCAATCAGGATAGGGTTATATGTGCTGTGGTTAACAATCAATTCCTAAATCTCAGTGGCTTAACTAGCATTTTATTTCTCATCAACACTATGATAGCTTGGCAAGAGGGGTCTGCTAAGTCACTCAAGGACACAGGCTCATATAGCTGACATCATCTTGAACATGGCCACTGTGCCAAAAGGAGCAATAGACTGTAGAATCTCAAATCAGCAATTAAATGCTCTGGCCCAGAGGTGATGTTGCTTTCAATTCACTAGTCAGAACTAGGCCGAGGCCCGACCATACCATACAAGGAGGCCAGGAAGGGGAACATGTATCCAGATGGTGGGAGAACCACTATTCTCCTTTTTTATCTCCTTGGTCTTTATCAGATTAGATTATACACTGCTTTCTCCTTCTTCCATAATGCTTCCCACATCTGTGCCTGTGTTCATGGGATTCCTTCATTGCATGGAATGTTTTGCTTGGATATCTCTTTGCAAGCTTTGCTACTAATCCCTGAAGGCCCACATCAGTTCCCATTTTCCCCAATCAACTCAGTCATCTCTCTTTCCTGTAAGTCTTATAAGCCAAAAGCACCATATATACCTGTAAATACTATCTAACAAGTATATAATACCTTCTGATGGTTCTTAAACTCGAATCATTATTTAATTGCCCCAAATTACTTTTATGTATTAACTTCCCAAATACATACTTTCAAAGGCAAATATCGTATGCTCTTATGTTCTACTTCTTCGTGTATTCCAGATATTCTAGCTAAATGTCTTACATTAAATGAATTGTTCATGATATCATTTTTAAATATCCCTTCATAGGGAATGAGTATATAAAGTTAATAACCATAAAAATGAGGCTCTCAAACACAGGCCCCCCTCTCCCTTGACAAAAATTAAGCCAGGATACAAGATCACAGAATCAAGTAGATTTTGTTGTTTATATGTAAATTACCAATTGAAGTGGATACTTTCAGCTATTGTTTCCCCCATCTCATTAAGAAATGTCTACTATATTTTTAGGAAAAACCTAAGGAATATCAAATCATTAGGTGCCAAATCAAACATAATTATCATGTAAGAGTATTAACTGGTACAAAAGATCACTCACTATACACTACTCTCTTATCTATGGCTCCAGAAAGATAGCTACTTGCATTTATTGTAATGCAGTGAAAATCAGTACCCAGAAGGCTCACACATAATTATAGCTTTTCAACTGGGCAATGCGTATTATTCACTAATATGTCAAAAAGAAACAAAGTTCTCTTGATGCTTAAGACTAGCAGGCTTACTGGAAAAAGTTTAAAATCAATACATCATTCTTAAGATCATATTAATTGTGCGTATAAACTAGTAGATTCCAGGAAGTATGAATTTTTCCTAATACCAATAAAACTTTATTTGGAAAGGAGCTATGCATAGGCAAATTTACAATCTTAAAATTGACAAATATTTATTTAAGCACATTTCAGAAATATGGGTAAATTCCTTTACTGGACCACTGAAAATGAAAAAAGAGGCTTCTCCACAGCCAGTTTGGGTGACTTATTTAGAAGAAAACTCTAGAATGAAATAAATGATACTGTTCTACCTAGGTGGACCCTGGCCAGAACAAGTATGTGTCTTCCTTGTCAATTTATAGACTGATGCTACCAAGAGGACTAGATTTCATTTAATTCATCTAGGTGTAGTTTTAGAAAATGGCATCCATTAGACATGCATGGCATACGTAATTTTACTTGGAAAATTCCCTACATTTTTCTTTTCTTCATTAACCAGTCAATTGTTTCTGGATGTTTACCTCCAAATAACAGAAGAAAACTGCCCATGATATAACTAGAGGCACAAATATTTGATGTGAGAGAAACATAAGCCCAAAATGTTCAGCTTTTGGCTTTCAAAACAGGGACATCTGATACGGATGTTAACCTTAGGAACCTTCATTTTTGATACTCCTTTACACTCATGTTAAAGGTCAGACTTTCAATATGGATTCTGTTACTTTTGTTTTTTCTACTATAGGCAAAAAATTTTCCTGGACCGTTGGGTTATCTACATAACTGGTTTGAGTGTGTTTATTTTCTTCCACTATAATGTTTCACAATTTTACGTAGTTTTAAAAATTAATAATCTTCCATCAAATTTTCCTTTAATCTTTTATTTTTATGTGAGAGACAGGAAAAGACAAAACCAAGAGCAGGGAGTACTGAGAATAAGTTATGCCTATAAGAAGGGTGGCTAGCTAAATGTCTTTGTAATCAGGCAGTATGAGTGGTAAATCAGGGAATGACTCCAGTATTACACAGAAGAGGTCAGTCCATATGCGATTTTTCTTAAGCCAGAGGAGCCAGAATGGCAGAAGCAGAATTATAACCTTTGGCAGGGAAGAGAAAAAACTTGAAAAATGAACGTCTATATTCACGTCTTCCAGAGGTACAACCCTAGCCTTGTAGGACTTGCAAGGTTCATGGCAGGTTGTACTTCCTCCATGCTTAGAGATTTAGTTCTACATACATGGTCTTAGCACCCACAAGCCAGTATTTCTATTCTGCTCTTTTTGTGCACTTAAAAATATCCTGAGGTAAGCTCAAGACCTGCTTGCTCTCTGGCTGTCCAAGTCACCTCAAGAACGAATTAATGTTTTTGTTAGTGCTCTGGTCACAAAGTCGCATGGTTTTGGGGGGTCTACCCCAAAACTGTTTTCCCATGAGCTCTGTTAGTTTTAGAATGCAATTTTGCAAATCCTGAGATTTTTCAAGAACATATATATCATGTTACTACAGAAAAACCTATACTCTAAGCCTTAGTTTCTTTCTCTGAAATTACTGTTGTAGAAATCAAACACAATGATGCCTATTCAACCCAGTGGTGGCCCAAAATAATAGGATTCTTAAAGCATCTTCATAACTTCTACCTTAATATTCCCATAAAAACAAGGATGGATTTAAGAATGGGCTTTTAGTAAACACCAACTTAAATTATGTTTCCCAGACCTGTGTCTAGGGTGTCTCTTCCTTTAAAAGTAAACAGAATTATTTTCAATCAGCTTTTAGGAGAAAAGGACCCAACACACTCCTGTTCTGGTAAACCTCTCCCACTACCAGACAGGTTCCACTTGGGCAGCAAATTTAGATATGGTGTAACTTCCCACTATCCTAAAAAACAGATGTTATACCAAATGCAAGAACTAAAACGTACAAATTTTCCTGAATACATAATGTCAGAAAATGAAATTTAAAACGTACATACCCATATATGCTGCCCAATGAATAGCCCGTCTATCTTTCTTGTCAAAAGCATTAATATTGGCACCTCTAGACAAGAGTAGTTTGACCATCTGTAATAAAAATAAACAGTTTCATCAAAATTCAGAAGTAGAACTATTCACGAATATCCCTTATGATGACTACTCATCTCAATCTCTCTGGCACTGAATTTCTGCATTTGTAGAAAGGAAGGAGCTAGACTAAACCCTGAAGACCCTTCAACGTAATTTAATAAATAAGAGGACAAAATATGAAAAAAGGATTCACAATGGGTGTTATTGAAGTGGGTATCAGTATCTTTTAAAGATGCTACCTTGTGTCCTGATATTTTATGAAGAATGAAATACAAATCTGGAAGGTCTAAAGGTGGAATATTTAACAACAGGTTTATTTCTTTTAATAGCCCAAGGTGTTTTTAAAATGCAAAGTGCATTCTTATCCCAGAAATGTCTTAAATTTAATTCAAACACAAATATACTATCCATAATATGATCAGATCTGAAGGTCACGGCACACAGTCTGCTTACCTCATAATGTATCAAGAACAGTATTTCTAGTCCGTCTAACCATATTTACAATAGTTTCCCCATGGGAAAGGGCACTCCATGTTTCAAAAAAGGGACACATCTGTGACCTTAATTGCAGTGAAGGCAAGGATTCTTGATGTTGCAGAGAAACAGTGAAAACAACACTGTAGCCACTAGCTCTCAGCCATGGAATCTTGGGAATGTCACTTTACCTCTTTGAGTTTCTGTGTCTGCAACAAAAATGAAGGACTGGACAAGCTGTCCTCAAGGTTCTTGTAACTCTGTGTTTTCTTCTTTCCTAAGCCTTCTATATACACAAAAATCTCACTCTTTGCCACGACAACATTTAACATTAGGCAATGCTTGTTGTATAAGATAACTAAATATTGATTTTCTTAATTTTTTTCCTTTTGATGATCTGTTACCAAAGAATTTTTGACTAAATGTTGATAATAAACTATAAGAAAATCTTTTCCAAACCCTGCCTTCCTTTGTTACTATCTTTCTGGGAGCACTATGAAACTGCTCTGTCTTTCTGGATTATTTTTTCCACAACAACAGAACATACTTTTCACATTGTGTATAGCTGGCAGTGTTCTCCTTTGTCTCCCCAGGTTGACCACGAAATTCAACTCCATGGGTTGTATTTGATAAGTAAACTTCTAAATTTGAGAAATTTATATCATGAATTTTATCATGAAAAGAAGTCTGAGAATTTGCTAAAGGCAGAATTAGACAAAAACAAACAAGAAAGTGTTCTTTTTTTTTTTTTGCTATTACCATGGACTGAATGGCTAAAAAGGGTAAGTTCATTAATAATTGGGGTGGGGAGTGGCAGGATGAAAGGAGAGAGAATCACTGTCTAATTGAACACCACCTACCTCACCATGTCCACTAAAAGCTGCATGATGTAATGCAGTCCTCCCCGCTCGATCAGACACGTTTACATTACTCAGAAGAGGTACCAAAGCTTCAGCGCACTTTACAGCTTTATTAGCAGCAGCTATGTGTAAAGGGGTTTGCCAATTTTTGTCTCGAGCATTAACGTCTGCAGAATGCTTCAAAAGTATCTGCACTGCTTCCTGAAACATACATGATAAAGGTTACAAAAGACAAATGAGTTAACAGTTTTATTTTTTTTTTTAAAGATTTTATTTATTTGTCAGAGAGAGAGAGAGAGAGAGCACCAGAAAGGAGAGTGGCAGGCCGAGGGAGAAGCAGGCTCCCCGCTGAGCAAGGAGCCCAATATAGGAATCGATCTCAGGACCCTGGGATCATGACCTGAGCTGAAGGCAGACGCTTAACTGACTGAGCCACCCAGGTGCCTCAAGTTAACAGTTTTAGAAACTGTATATATAAGGAACTAGTATTTCCTGAGGAAATAAAAAGCCTGGTAGAACCTGCTACAAATGAGTAGGAATTTACCCAAAAAACAAAATATTTTGGAGTAAAGGCAGTACTACTCAGAGCCATTATAAGATGCACTGAGATAAAACATTCCCTTTTTCTGTCCTCCTATTAAAGGCATAACAAGATCAAAATGTGGAGAACAAATACTGACAAATATTCTTTAAAAACATTAATTACAGGGGCGCCTGGGTGGGTCAGTCGGTTAAATGTCCAACTCTTGATTTTTGACTCAGGTCATGATCTCAGGGTTGGGAGATGGAGCCCCATGTCAGTCTCTGCACTCAGCAGGGTGTCTGCTTGAGGATTCTTTCTCTCTCTCTTCCCCTCGGACCCTCCCCCTGCCCACGCTCTCTCTCTAAAAACAAACAAAATTCATTACTTCTCTTGTTTTTCTAGATAACAAGATACAATTAATTTGTACTTTCAACAGTTTTAAGGAATAGATTGTTTTGCAATTAAATATATAAAAATTTAAAGCATACTATTAGTATACATTATATTTTACAAATGGAAAAATCACTAGTATCTAGTTTATTAGAGACAGAGAGAAAGAGAGAGAGACAGAGAAATAGATGCTGTACTGCTAACTGGTAAAGCTGATGTTAACAAGGCAATTTAAAAGCTTAGTATCCAAAGGAATTTGTCTCCCAGAAGATGAGGAAAACTTCACATCTATAAATTGGACTCATGGCTAGATACTAAGGACTCCAGTATGCTATCTACATTAAGCAATACAGTCAGAACTAAACCTAGCGAAAATTTCTCCTTGCAGTGATAATCCTCTCTTTGGCAGATGAATGATGAAGTACACATGAAAAGGACCAGAATCAGAACTAAACCTAGTAACACTGACCTTTGGTTTTCTTTCTTTCTTTCCTTTTTCTTTTATTTATTTTTAAGATTTTTATTTATTTGAGATACAGAGAGAGCATGTGCGAGCTAGCAGGAGGAGGGGTAAAGGGAGAGGGGGACAGAATCCTCAAGCAGACTCCCTGCTGAGCGTGGAGCCTGACATGGGGCTCCCTCTCCCAACCCTGAGATCATGACCTGAGCCGAAACCAAGAGATGGGCCCTTAACCAACTGAGCCACCCAGGCACCCCAGTGACCCTTGATTTTCTTAAAACAAACAAACACCATGAAAAGTGTTCAAAAGCATCAAGCAATTATCAATATGTAAAGTAGCAAGGAAGACTAAACAAAATACTACTATCTGTGATTCACACATAGTTTTTTAAGCCTTTCAAATAAAAGGTAATCAGAACTGTTTGAAATATGAGAAAGACCGTAAGTATTTAACAAGACTGACAAAAGATGAGAGATGCCCAGTAATCTATCAATCTGCTAAGGAAGTCAGCCAGCAAAGATATAAATGGAGACCTACCCTAGACCCCACAATTCTACTCTAGTTATCTGCCCAGGAGAAACTTAAAAAGACCCACCCACCCAAGAATATCCACAGTAGCTCTATTCGTTAAGAGCCAAAAAGCAGATATGCAAACTGTTGTACATAATACAGTGAAATACTCCTCAGCAATAAAAGGAATAAACAATGTACACAATATGGAGGATTCTCAAAAATATTAAGTTGAACAAAAAATTCAAGACATAAGAGTACGTAGTGTATGATTCCATTTTTATAAAGTTCTGGAATAAGCAAAATTATTCGATGGTGTAAGAAATCAGAACGGTGGTTGCCTCTGGGGACAAGGAAGACTGACTGGAAAGGGACATGAGGTAACTTTCTGGAGCGATGGAAAACTTCCATATCTTGATTGGGAAAAAGGTTACATGGGTGGTTACATGGATGGATACATGTGTCAAAACTCAAGCCTACACACAATATCTTTGCATTTACTGTAAATTATACTTCAATTAAAAAAAAGGGAGTATGGAGAAAAGGATACAGAAAGGAAGTGGTATAAACACACCATCAGGATTCTCCATCTCAAGAAGGGCATATTGTGACTTGGGGTATAAAATGAACACTATACTGGAAAATGTTAGCTGGTGTGCTGATGGATATACTAGAAAATAATTAAAAACAAAATGAAGAATTTATAATTGGATAAATCAGGCAAACATGGCATACTAAAGATGCCAGGCTTGCCTTATTCATTCCCACTCTGGAATTCACAGTGCATACATTAAATATTCTGAAAAGTCTGGAGAATACTTATGTTCCATTAGCAAGAAGTAGAAAAATCAAAACTATTCTTTTGTTTCACTGAAAAGCAAAAAAAAAAATCCAGTTAATGGTAGGTAAGGGAAGTAAGATGGAACCTAAGAAAGGTTATAAACACAGTTACTAAGATCCTAGAATCAACAGAGAGCAAAGTTTGAACCATGGGTTCACTGCTATGGACCAAATTGTGTTTTCCCACCATTCATATGTTGAAGCCCTAAACTCCCAGTGTAACTGTATTTGGAGATACGGTCTTTAGGAAATAATTAAAGTTAAATGAGATGAAAGAGAGGCAACCTAATCTGATAAGACTGGCGGCTTTTTAAGAAGAGGAAAAGAAAGATACCCCCTTTCTCTTTACCATGTGAAGAAACAGTGAGAAGTAGCAGTTTGCAACCCCAGAAGAGAGCCTTCATCAGAAATGGACTCTGCTAGATCTTGATCTAGGACTTCTAGCTTCCAGACTATGAGAAAATAAATTTCTGTTGTTTAAGCCAGCCAGTCTATAATATTTTGTTATGGCAACCCAAACTAACTAATATATCCACCATTTACCACTCAGAACAGTATGTCAGATCACAATAGCAGTGATCTTTATGAGACTGACGCGCTACCTACTGCGCTAACGAGGCACCTAGCAGTGATCTTTAAAAATTCAGAAAAAACAAATATACAGATGGGAGACATTAAACCAAAAAGGCGAATTCCTCCCTCCCTCACTTCCTCTTTCTTTCTCTCTCTTTTTAGAGAGAGCACACAAGAGTGGCGGGGTGGGGAGATGGAGAGGGAAGAAGAGAATCTTAAGCAGGCTCCACGCCCAATGTGGAGCCTGACCTAGGGCTCGATTTCACAACCCTGAGATCATGACTTGAGCCGAAATCAAGAGTCAGACACCTAACAGACTGAGCCAACCAGGTGCCCCTAAACAGACAAATTTCTGGAAATTACAAATCAATGAGCCTGATGTCATAACCTAATAAAATTCTAGATATTATCAGCACATTATAAGCATTCAGAAAATGATATAGGGATAATAAAGGGTATACATGGTTTTACTAATGGTAAGTAATTACCATAGTAACCTCAATCGCAATTTTTCCATTATTAGATGCTAAGTATATATAAGAAATGCTGCACATGTGCCTTGACTTTGAAAAAACAGCTAAGAAAATATCCTACGACACTGATCTTAATAAGATTATGAAATATGGGGTGATGACAAAAGGTTAAATAATTTTTTTTTTTTTAAAGATTTTATTTATTTATTTGACAGAGACAGAGATAGCGAGAGCAGGAACACAAGCAGCGGGAGAGGGAGAGCAGGCTTCCCGCCGAGGAGGGAACCTGATGTGGGACTCGATCCCAGGACCCTGGGATCATGACCTGAGCCAAAGGCAGACGCTTAACGACTGAGCCACCCAGGCGCCCAAAAGGTTAAATAATTTTATCTAAAGAGTATTTATTCATAGCTTGGGGTCAATCTAGAAGAGTCTGTACAGCACTAGCTGTCTGTGGTTCTGCCTTTTTAGCAATTCTTACCATTGATTTGAAGTCAGGCACAGGAAAAAGAAGGGCTAATACATTTGTAAATAAACTTTAATAGCTGGATGGGCTATTAATATCTCATGTGATAATAATATAAACTCAGTGTCTTGATAGAACTAAAATGTAATTCCTAGAGGTAAGTTAAAAAAAAAGTAAATGTGTATCTTCCAGAGGATCTAGCAGTGTAATGTGGCTTCTTAAAAAAACAAGCAAAGAAAAACCAAAACACACACACACACACACACACACACAAAGTCCTAATACTCAGAAATCAATTTATTCAGAAGAATACTCCGCATTTACAGAGAGCTGAGCTGTACACTCCACTAGAAGAATGGAAATCACAAATCTGTGGTGATGAAACAAGTCAGCCAGCCAATATGATGAAGTGTGTGGAAGTCATGTCACTGAAGGAGAGTGGAGGAGCTCAGGATATATAACCAGAAGCAGCCTTTCTCAGCCTAGGTACAGTGAGGGAATTAGACCTAAGGTATCCTTTCTGTGATGAATTAACTTCTCCACTATGCTCTACAATGGTGTTAGCTTCTAAAGGCCTTGGAGGATTGAGAAAACAGTCACTCTGATCACCCTGTGTAGGGTTTACTTCTCTCATGGTATCTCAAAAACATAAACCAAAACTACCTAAAATTTTGTCTTTTCCATACCCTTATGTGGCTATATTTTCTTATTAAATGAAATTAAGTACAACTCTCTTTTGCTCTGAGGATGTAATAGAAAAAATTAAAAGAACATGGGGAAACTGATAATCTTGACTAGGTTTCCTGCAAAAGAGTAATACTACACAGCCCAGTAATTTTTAGACTGAAAGCAGACTTAAGAAACTTCTTAAGATCACTGCTTTCTAACCTACAGCTCAGGCTAAGTACACAGTTTTAAAAAATCAGCTGTCAAGATTTTGGGAAGAACCTGCCATCTTCCTCTAACATTATTTTCTTTAAGAATTTTTTGTCTGTTTCACAATCTCTACAAATATACAAAGTGTTCCTTCTTATGACTTAATTTGGCAAAACACCAATTTTAATAATCACATTCCCAAGAGTCATACTAAAAAATGGTTAGGTCTAACTTATTAATAGGTTCCAAAGACAGTAATGTTTATCTTCCTTAACTGCCCTTGTTTACAGAAACTCTTTACAAGAGGGCTAACCACAAAATATTCCCATGGAATTTCAGAGTTCAAAGTATTTTGGTTAATGTCTTAGTTTCATGATAATCCCCAGATCTGCCTGAGATCACACAGCAAGTGTAGCCAGTTTCTCCAGATCCAAGTTCCACATTTCAACAGCTAGAGCACACCACGGACCCAGATCTAAGGTAAGTGTGCTCCAGCACACCACCCACTGTTCCCTCCCTCCTCCTTCCAAGTAGGAAGCTACAGCTAACACTGCCTGTCACATCGCAGGGTTTGAAATCCTTCCCAGCCACTCTGCCCCCACTTCTCTTCACTGGTTGTGGGTTCAAGACATTCACAATGAGTGAATACACAGAAATACATACAAGAATGAAGAGACAAGAGTTCTTTGGGCACAATGCTTTTTTAAAATGCACCTAATACATTTTAGAAAGAGAGTAAGATGACAGAAAAAAGAGGGTCCAGGTTTTCATTCCATCTCTGCTACTCAAAAGTTGAGTGGTTTATGGCAAATCATTAACTACAACTCCCTCAAAATATCTATCCTACAAGGGTGTCATGAGGACTGGAAGATATGAAAAACATAAAAATGAATGTTCTCCAAAAATGTCAGTTATCTTGAAGAACAAATCATATACAGGGTTATAAATGAGAAGAAACTGTTCTTCCCCATAAGACACCTAACATTTTAGGTTGTATATTTAGAACTGGTAAAATGTGAGATCACATCATGTTTTTGAAGTTAATTTCAGTGTTTAACTAAACAATATTTCAGTGAACTGTTACATACTGCTGAGATTATTATTTCTTGATCATGGTCAGCAGAACCTTTGCAGCATGTCCAGGAGAGAAAAGACTGAGGAGGATTTTATAGGTATAGAAAATAATCTCTCTTGTAGGGCATATATAAGGAGGGTTTTCTACTCTCTGTGCACTTCAGACTCTCCAAGAGAACTTTGTCACAAAAGAGAAATGGAACAGTTAACTTGGTCTGTACAAATTCTAAAGTAAATTAACCAGTCTAGGTATTTTCAGTTGCTTTTTCCTTCTTTTGAAAACACAGAATTTGAATATAGGCTCACAGGCAAGCCTGCTTAATGCTTTTATATACAATATATTTACTAAAAGAAATTTCATACCTCACTACAAGATGCAACTGCTCTGTGTAAAGGTGTCAACCATTTGCTGTCTTTGGCATTAACTCTAGCTCCTGCAACAAGAAGAAAAAAATAAATTGAAATATTTTGCATAAAATATTTTAAATAAATTTCCTGAATTAGTTATATATAGTCCAAATTGGATAAGTAACAATTGAAAAAGTAGTACTTTATTTTTTATACTTTCTGCTCATAAATTACTACTAAGTTACAAAACAAAACTATCCAATAAGGTATCAGCTCTTTTTATTAAAAATAAAAGAAACATCATTTTATATATAGGCTAGAAAAGCACCTTTATACAGAGCATATTAAAGTAAAAATAAGGTCCCACTTTAGAATGTGTCTTAAAAACTCAAATAAATAAGAATATTCCTATGTAAAATGCAGACCGTTACAAAGTCATTACATTTCTTTATTAGTGAATGTATCGTGTTATAAAGCAATATAATACCAAAATATTTCTCCAATGAGGATTAAAAGTACATTAGTCCTATAAAGTTGTTGTGTAAAATGGATACAGTGACTACAGACTTAGGAAAAATTTGAGAAAGAAAGAAATGAACAAACCCATATGTCTTTCTGGGTTATACCTAAAGGTTTAAAGAATTTTTAAAAAATCAACTACATACAGTTATTTAAAAATCATTGAGTCAATGGACAAAAATTACCCTTAACAGAATATAAATGCATTTAGTAAGACAAAATGTATTATGTAATCTGGCGGGGGGCGGGGAGGAAGCATCTATTGCCTACATAAAATCCACTGATTTGGTACCTAAACCCCAAACAGAAGCAGCAACCAAACTGTAGGGTTAGTGTATATTGAAGTAGAAAGAAACAGCCCTGGCTCTCAGAAGTATAGAGAAACTGGTGAAGGGTCTTACACTATAAGCAACCCTAGATTTATATCCAGGATCACAACTAGCTGGTGTGAAGGGGCTTTAGATATCTAGCCCAACCTCCTCATTTTCTAGATGATGAAACATAGGTACAGAGAATAGCTTAACATCAAAGTCCAGTATGGCAGAACCAAGGCTAGAATTCAGATGTCCTAATGTTTGCATTCCATGTTTTGAGTGGAGGTTCCAGGGAATATTCCAGGGAATAATCAAGTGCAGTGACTCTAAGTCACAGCTCTAACAACTACTAGCTATGGGTTCCTAACTAGTTGTGTGATCCCTCTGAACAGAAGTTTCTTCATCTATAGAACAGATCTCCTAATGCCTTGTTACAAAGGTCAACATAATAAACATACAACACAGATGTGTTAAAAGTAGATTTAAAAGTCCTGAACATGAGAGAAAAATGATATGAAATGCAGGTGTATAAAATCATTCACAAATGTAGCAGTTGAAATTCTGAGAGTAACTGAACTCCTGAGCAGTGACAGTGAGGACACTGGAAGAATTAAGAACCAATATGAGAGCTTTCATGATTGCTCAATTAGGCTTTGGGAGAAAGAAAGGGACTCAGCAGAATAAAGAAACAGCTAGAGAGAGTGGTATATTTATGTAGTAAACGTAAACAAATATCTGCTAGGCTCTTGGGAGACCAAGATGGTTAAAACATAGACTGTGAGACCACAATAAAGTCAGCATTTGTTCTGGGTAAAAGGTAGAATGTAGATCCTGCAAATAGTTGAAATCCATATAGGTTAGAAGGCTGGAGTCCTCAGAGATGATAAAGGGACAATACAGAAGCTAGGCTCTGGCTGTTTCATTCTCCCATTTCCTTCCTTGGAACTTCAAAGGTTCTCCATAATACTTGTACCTCTTTCTACAATGTTTATGTGCATAGTAGAAGGGCAAATCCTGGCATTAAGGCCTGAAAGGTAGTGATTCACTCAGAAATAGTACTTTGGATAGACAAAGGTAGAAAAGAATGAGGCCTGATAATAGGTCTTCAGCAAATGGGAAGGGTTATTAAGTCTGATTCCAGGTGTTAATTAACAAGGAAATGGAATGTGGATGTCACAAAAAAATGAGAAGAATCTCTATGCGCTCATAAAGATCTGAGAAATAAAAACTGAAAAAAGCAGTGAGAACTGGATGAGTAATGTTCTTTAATTTTATGTAGAAAATGGAAGAGGTAAGTATAAATATCTTTATTCATATTTGCATTATATACATAAGGAAACCCTGAAAGAACACTAAGACATTAATAACAGTGGTTGCCTATGCATTTGTGTAGGTGGTGAGGTACAATGAGAATTGGGTGATAGGGGACTGGGATAGAAAGGCAACTTCACTGTATACCACATACCTTTAAATATACATATTTTAAATAAAATTGAAATACTACTTATTAAAAAAAGAAAGAAATGTATTTAAGAAGGAATAAAAAGAGTGGCCATAAAAAATTCCAAGAATTTGCCTTTAAGTGCAAAGACAAAAATTGGAAAGTGACTAGGCAGACAGTAAAGATAGCTTTGTCTTTCTTTTGAACATGGGTTATCAGATACATGGTTAAAGAAAGAAAATCTAATTTTGATGCCCATTTGGCAGCCTAAAGTAAAAGAACCTGCTGGTTTCATTCTTCCATTTTAAGTTATGATAATTAATTAATAGTCTTTCTTTCTCTTCACTTTTTTTTTTTTTAAAGATTTTATTTATTTATTTGACAGAGAGAGACACAGCGAGAGAGGAAATACAAGCAGGGGGAGTGGGAGAGGGAGAAGCAGGCTCCCCGCAGAGCAGGGAGCCCGATGCGGGACTCGATCCCAGAACCCTGGGATCATGACCTGAGCTGAAGGCAGTCGCTTAACCAACTGAGCCACCCAGGCGCCCTCTTTCTCTTCACTTTTAATAACAAAATTTAATAACAAATTCAAAGTTAATTTATCAAAAAACATGAGTGACTACAACAAAGAATCCACTAATGGTTTACTGAGGATACAAAATACTACTAGTTGGTACTAATGTAACAGACGATGTGATTAAAAAAAAAATGGCTTGTCCTTTTTAGATTTTAAAGATACTTATCCCCAGGAAGATCAGCACCATAGGATTCTAGACATCTGATCATAATCTTTCCAGAAGGCACTCATCTTATCTTTTGTTATATCACACAGCACTAATCATATGTTTTAATTCCTTGTAAATTAAAGGTCAAGTACACAAGAAATGGTTGATCTATTTCTAAGGACACCAACAGAACAAATATCTCCCCTGCCCACATCCATTAATTAGTAATCACTTTACATATTAACAAACAAATATGGCATAGCAATGTACATTACAAGAGTGGCAGCCGGCTATAAAATGAAAAATGGAGTAAGAGCAACAAACATGGAGGCACACTTCAGATGTCCAGGCTCCCAGAGCTCATCTCATGTGAATTCTGAAGGTAACCAGACTTTTGTTCTACACAGACAGCTCCAAAATTAGCTGTATATTCATAAACACAAGCTACAAAGTCATGCCAGTAATGAAAAAGGTATTTCCAGAGTAAAATTTACCAGTCTAATAGCTGAAAACCAGCAACAAAGGCTAACAATGAAGATGGAGAAAGGGAAAAAAAAATCATACCGACTTAAAACATAAAAGTCTTGGAACAGAGAAAATCAAATGTTAATAGCTCTCGTGGAAACATCACATACTCTATACAGGGCAGAGTATAATATTTGTAGTTTATAAGGATGATCTTAAGTCACCAAGATTAATTTCTTTACTGTTTCCTAATCATTAAAAATGAAGAGAATATAAGATAGCAGCCCCATCCCAATTATTGAAGTTAGATTACTGGGAGACCCTCAGGTAAAGAGGAAGCACTGCTGAGAAACTGAAGACAATTAAGATAGCAATTTAAGGATGATATACTGATAACTACTGCAAACCAATATTTCCAGAAAACCTCTCAAGTGCTAGGAGCACATCTCAGTAAATCCAACATAGCTATGCCCAATTGTGTATCAAATACTTTCTTTACTAGTCTCCCCCCCACAAACCCATGTATAAGGGAAATCCATGAGCTTTCCCTTAAGATGATAAATAAGCAGCCAGCACGTATGCCACTTCAAATATCTGAATTTAGATTCATCTTCCAGAGTAGAGATGTGATTAAGATTTCTGAAATGTTAAAAGCAAAAAGAACAAAAAACAAGCAAAAAACAACTGCAGGGTAACCCAAACAGGTTGTATCCATTTGATATCACCATTAGATTATATAGAAAAATTCAGATAACCAGCTTCCTCTCACCCAGTCTTTTCATTTAATGATTCATACATATAAAAATGTACTGTCAGTTTTTGAAAGAAAAAATTAAGATTTCCAGAATTAGGTCAATGTCTAGCTCATCTGAAGATAAACAAGAAAATAATTTAAAAAAATAAAAAATCTGGGGCACACGGGTGGCACAGTCAGTTAAGCATCTGACTCTTGGTTTCAGCTCAGGTAGTGATCTCAGGGTTGTGAGATCAAGCCCTGTGTCCAGCTCCATGCTCAGTGCAGAGTCTGCTTAAAACTCTCTCTCTCTAAAATAAATAAATAAATAATCTGATTTACTTACATCAGTCTATTCTGGGCTCTAGACAACCATGCAGCCGAAGAGAAGTCTGGACTTGTGAGGAGACAGGCAGTAGTGGAAGGAGCCCAGGAGCAGGACCTATGATCTAATAATGGCTCTGTAACAGCATGCTGTGTGAGCTGGGGCTGTTCCCCAGAGCCTAGACCTTCATGTTGTTAATCATAATCTCTGCCTCCTATGCCTTGTGTGTGTATATGGGGAAGTGGGGGCAGAGGGCGAGGGAGGATGGGCCCCAGGTTGAAACAACACAGGGAGCTCCTGTTCCTGCAAAATGGGTTTCAGGAGTCAGGAACTCAAATCAGGAGCATCTCATTTAACTCTAGGTCTCAACTCATCTGTTTTCTCCTTAATCTAATTAATCAACAAGACCTGCCAATTCTTTGAGTTTTGAAACTAAGTTATCAGTAAAACAACTGTTGTGCCAAGTGATCTGTATGATCCATTTCCTATTAGAACATTCCATCCTATTTTGAAATAGGTACCCAGAATAAATTATTTCATACTTATTAAATACCTTGCCCTACA